GTATATATATATATATATATATATATATATATTCATTGCAGAAATGAAATAAAACTGTGCAATGAAAATTACAATATACCTCGTAATCGACAATACCGGAGTCGCTTGGTGAAGGTGTAACGTGTATTCCTGAGCTGTGACGACTGCCAGAAGACGTATTCGAACCATAAACTTGATGTGAAGGTGGAGATTTCTGCAATGAATGCCGCTATCTGCACGTAAACGTTTTTTTGTTGCTTTTAATTTTTCAAATGCAGTTGCATAGCTTTTTCCTAGGGATTAATGGATCACAATAAAATGAGTGAAAAAAAAGCTAATGCAAGCTGAAAATTATTTCATAGAACTGGAATTTCTCACTGGATCACGTTTATTAGATCAAAAAATTATGAACAACAAAAAAGCTTATCAGTGAATATGAATAATAGAAACTTTACGATTCGGAGACGGTTATAAATTTTTTTAGATACTACAGCCGTTCCTTAAGATATGATTAAACTGGAACGATTGGCAACCGATTATAACTTATCTTCTAAAGCCTTTTAAGACAACACATGTGGTGAGAAAAATTTTTTACCTTAAAATTAATAATGTAAACAGACCTTAACAAGATTTAATGATGAAATTCCGGCTACTACATTGAATGTTGCACTGCCGTTTTGCTGCTGTTCCTGTTGTATTTTATCATGACTAATATTGGTATTATTGTTTTTTATCGCTGTTGCAGCAGGAAGTGTCTCCGACGATGCGTTGTGACAGTAAGGCATCGAATGTACAACACAGTAGTTTTCATTGATTGTCGGATCCACTGCATATTATTTGTTTTACAATAAACCGTAAAAAAAATTTTTTTAAATAGAAAAGCATGCAGTATAAACTTTGTAGGTTTTTGATTTTTGATTTAGATATTAAGGCCCAAATTCATAAGAGTTTCGAATTCGAAATCTTAATCTTCAACTGTAATACGTAATTGTTAATGCTTGAGTTAAGCATACCTTTTAGCCAACCAAATTAGTTTTGAAGAAAAAAATTCTCAAGATCTTCTTATTATCATTTGCTAAAGTTAAAGTATCATCACTTGTGAAGAATTTTATTTTCACTACTTGGTATAAACGAAAAGCAGAAGGGTGAATAAAAAGGATTTAAATTGCTAATCAATCACTACCATTACGTGTATGCACCATTCTCGAAATCAATTGATTACTAGACGATTCTAAGACAATACAAAATTAAACGAATCAACAAAAAAACAAACAAGTGGTAAATAACTGCTTTGTATTTTCCACTCAACAAAAAAAAATGAATATTAGAGGTCATACAGTAGAAACAGTAATGATGTGATTTCGGTGATTTCAGAAGTGACTTTTAAAATGAAAAAAGTAGATTTCTTAACTGGAAACCTGCTTTTAGTCTATCTCAAGTTGGTTCTAACTAATCCATACCTCAATAAATTTGATCTAAGTATGATCGTAAGATAATTTGCAGAAGTGACTAGAAGTCATTGCTAAATTGAAGAACTAAACGGTAAATTAACCATCGATGTAAAACTTGTCGCGTTCAATATATTCTGGCACAACATCATAATCATTCTCCGCAGCCTCAAATTTACCAGATCTTCTGTGCGTCATCATTGCTGATGCTAATTCAAAGCTGTAATTGTTAAATGAGAATATTTCAATTTTGATTCACTCCAGATCACTGATTTCCAATCAAAACCTTAATTTCTAAGCAAATTGTTAGAAGATATTTGTAAAACTCGTTATCAAAATTTTCTTTTTTTTTCATTCCACAACTGTATCCCGAACTTGTAAATATATTATTATTAAATTAGGAATCGCATTATTTTGATCAGAGTGTCTTTTTTCTCCGACTATTGTATTTCAAAGTAAAAGTTTGCAGAAAACAGAAACATATGCTGCAGAGAGATAAACAAATCTTTAACACAAACATAACATGGCAAGAATGACATAAGTAGGGTTAAGTGCTCTCTTATAATCAACCAAACCTGGTAGACGGTTGATAGATAGCTCGCGGTCTATTGTTACCATTAACTAATGGTACAGATGGATTTGATACAGTGTCCTTCGAATGTTGTGAAGATCGTTTCAATTCATCACTACTGTAATAAGATCCAATAAAAGTCAGAAGTCAGAATATTTAATCGAGTTATCATCATCATTATCACGATATGAAACAACTATAAAGATAAATTAGATGAAGTGAATTTGAATCTTTTGAAAAAACAAAACAAAAGAAGCAGAAGATCGATTGTTAAAAGAGATCTTCTGGATTTTTTTGACCTAATGCTAAGAAATGGATCACTGAATGGTAACCACAAATAAACATCACATAATCCATACTTAACGAAGAGTTCACTAATCTCTACAAAATTTCTATAATACTAACAATGGTACTTGGAAAATAGTCATCTTTGAAATCTCAAAAGATCTTTTCAAACTTACTTTGATAATCGTTTTGTTGGAAAATCATTTTTCTTCTTGTTGCTATTATAAAGAGAGAATGATGATGAGATAACTGCTTGATGTTTATCCGATTTACGTGAAGCATATGGCCGGAATGCTACAGGCCTGATAATATCCATACCCTGAAAATTAGTATATATATAAAAAAAAAATGCATAAAAGTTCTCAGATTTGACGAAATTGAATAAACAACATTGAATAAAATAAGTAAAATAGTTAAGTAACTAATTAAAATAAATAAGTTTATTAATAAAAAGAAATATTTCAATTTTGCTGTTATCATGCCGCTATCCATTCTATTGTTTAAAATTGTTGAAGAGATTGAAGAAGTTGATGATTCAAGATGATTCCCACTAAAATATTAGAACTCCAATTCAAATGAATTTATATCGAAATTTAAGCATGAAAGATATTCGTAAGCATTGATTTGCTATCAATCACTGATTATCTCTGTCTTTAGTCACATTTTATCCCTCCAAATATAATCCCTCGATCTATAACCTTCTCAAACAATGTTCGCTCCTGCAAATAGTCGTGATAACAGTTTGTTGACCTATGTGTGTGGTATTACCAGGAAGCCATCCAAGGATAAATTATAGCGATATTTAAAGTTGCTTTTTTAACGATAAACAAATTATTTATAATTCCACTATTGATTTCTCATAGTGATTTCTTTCTAGCATTTCTTAGACATAAGGATGCTTATATTTGCTATCATAAGAGTTCAGATCAAAGTTCAAACTTACTTATTGCCAAATATTAACTAATGCGACTGCTTGATCAATAAATAAAGAACGTTAATTTGCGGAAATGTCTGAACAATTTGAGGAGCAGTATGAAATTTTGTATAAAGCATTTATACCTATTACTTAGTGAATTTTGAACTGAGCCTAACCAACTAACTTTGTTGAGACTTTGTTCTCCATTTCTGTCTAAAACTGTCACGGATGATGTAATCGTACTATACCTTAACTAATATTATTAATTTAGTGATATGTATGTGAAGGTAAAGGTTAATGAAAAGAATAGAAATGGGATGGAATAATTTTGGGAAAGTGAAAATAACTGAAAAGCTTTTTTGTTGTATCTCTTCCTTAATCAGAAATTGATAAAATCTTTAAGAAATTTACTATTTGAAGAAATGAAATGAAAAATTCCCTTTTTATTATGTATGTTTTGAGGGAAAGGAAAAGGCATATGTAGAAATGTTTGTGTTGTAGTGGTAGTAGTAGTAGTAGAATGAATGTGATATGAAGAAGAGTGAGAATGAATGTGATATGAAGAAGTGAGAATGAATGATGAAAGGAACTTGTCGTATATCTTCTTTGCCACACTATTCCTTTTTAACCGCCTCATCAGAAGCAAATTTCAAGGTCGTAAATGATGTGCTGATAATTCAATATTATTTTTCTTCAATCATGAACATTTTAATTATAGTATGCAAAACTAATTTTTAATTTAAATTAAAATTTAAATTTTGAAAGCTGAAAAGCTATCAATAAATTTTATGGTTACAGTTATGTTATATAATGAAAACTGAAATTAATATTAAGCCATTTTTTTCCAATTATTTAGATGAGAAATTGTAATTGAAATTATTCACGATTGAATGGTAACTTATTTCATCCAAATTTGCAAGAAAATATTTTGATTTTATAAATTTAAAATTATGGATGCAACTGAAAAATAATTGCCAACCTTTGGTTTAACACCTGAATATGGTGTAATTCGAACTGGCGGTGGTAAATTGTTGCTTAGATTATCGTACTCTGAAATATTTCTTCAAATTTGAAAATTATTCAACACTTTTAATTAACATATTTCTTTAGAACGAATGAGATGTAACGAATGGTTGGAAATTTTCAACATATTTCTCATTCAAAATGCTGAATAAAACAGAAGAAATTTGATTTATAAAAAGACAAGAAATTTTTGCTTTTCATATTTTGAAAGAATAAATTTTCTATTGCAAAATATATTATTTATATTTATATTTTTAAAATATTATTTATATTTTAAAACATACTTTCAACAGTTTGAGTAGTTGTTTGAATGTTTTTCAAATTTTGAAAATGTGCAGTAAGATTTTTAACTGTCCGAGGATCATTATCGTTACGTCGTTTCAATGTCCGGTGTTCCATTACCGTTTCTGATGCATTTAATGTTGTATTGCTAAAAAAATAATAATTAAGAAAGTAAGTAGTATAGTGAGAAGGATAATGATATAATCAGATGTGTAAATAATTAGAAATGTTTGCTTTCATAGTATCAAAAAGTAAAAGTAAGTACTAGTTGTAGTACCAAAAATATGGTAAGTAGTAGAATAAATTTGCTAATGTTGATAAGATTGTAAAGAATTTAAATTGCGTGCACAACTGTAAGCATTTCAACTGCACTAACATTAATTATGATAAGAACTGTAAATGTGATTAAAGAATAATATTGATGATAAAAATAACGATTTCATTATTTAGAGAAGAGACAGCCTTAATGGTAAAATAAAATGGTAGTAGACTTAAGAATAACAAATATTATTAGTGATTCAAGGCCGTTTAATGTCATTCAATCTATAATGAATTATACCAAATTTAAGTTATCAAAAAAATTACTCAATCCTATCAATGCTCCTCAAATCATTTCATTTAATGTATTATTTTAAATTTGATTTCTTGAAAAATGATTATGCAGAACTTTTGAACTCTTAAATAGCATATTTCTTCTCTTAAGGCCTATCCTATCAGTGTTATCCTTTCTATGCTAGAAGAAGTGCCATCATTATCGAAACTAAATTTCCGACTGAAAAAAGGAAACACATTTAGCAGGAAATGATATTCATCCTTTTTCTTGCATTTACTTTTAAAAGTAAGTATAAATGATTAACTTTTCTTTAGTAAGTTAGCTATTTGATCTTTATTCAATTTTTTGTTGTCAATAATTATTTATTCATAAATTCGTTTCATTTAACAATATTTCCTAATATTTATTTTATTTTAACTCATTTCTAATAAATTATATAAAAATAACAATAAATTCTAATCAATTGAACTGGATAATTATAATTAATAAAATTAATTCCAATTATTTTTATACAATTAAATATAATTATATTTATAGTTAGCTAACCTATATGATATTGTAAAAGCTAATCAATTTTTTCATTAAAAGAAAAATTTTCATTCTCAAAGAAAAGAAATGATTTTTTACGGGTGAAAGACAAAAAATTCAATTTTACAACCAGACTAGTTCAAAAAATTTAATAATTACTAAAAAAGCGCAATTTGTCGAAAAATTTTTGGAAGAATTAGGAAACCAGGTCAAGCATATAAATTGGCAACAACCCAGTTTGTCGTGTAAAACTGCCAGTTTAGTTATAATAATCCACAAATAAAACATAACTTTATCATCGTCATTATCAATTATTATCATATCTTATTGTTATCGCATTTGGAAAAAGATAATTCATTTTCAATTGTTTGAGAATTTACAAATGCAGTAGAAGATGACAAATATCTGATATAGATATTTGTATAAGTTCTAACGAATGAAAGAGAAACAATACAACGATATAATGCTATCTTTTTAAAAGTGTAACCCAAAAAATAATTCTTCAAAAATATTAATTCAAATTCAAAATAAATTAAAATTAGTTTAATTCAATTTGCAGTCGAAAAAAGTTTTTTGTGTTTAACAAAGCTTAAAAAGTTGAAATTTGATAGTAATACATAAAAGGTCAAATTAAGAGGTTTTTCGATCATGATAGGGTCAATTGTCTTCTAATTTGTACTCAATCAAAAAAACGATATTATATTACATTCTTCTAACTTAAAGAAAATGAAAAATTGAAATTCACAATAGTGCCATCGGCTGTCAGTAAATTTATACTAAGCAGAAATTTTTTTCTTGAAAATTTTTATGAGGCGAAAAAATGGATAAATTTTTTAGCTTCACATAATTCACCTTTAAGTATTAATACTAAAAATTCTTCAAACTTTTACATCGATCATAATGAAACCAGTTGAAATTTATGTGTAGAAGATAATAAATAAATGCGGAAATTGTTTTAAGGTCATAAATTATACATCTTAATGCTTCATTGCGTTTCCCTTCATTCCTTACAGATACAGACATACACAAAGAGAAAGAAGATAAAATGTAAACAAAAAATGAATCCATCCGGCTATCAACGAGGATAACTGACCGGTGAAGAAAGAAAATTCAGAAAATATTCCGACAAGTTGTCATTAAATGTATATTCGATTCGAATGAATGAATTCTGATTTATAAATAGTAAATTGCTGGAAGGAAAGAAAGAGATAGTAAAGAGAAGATTTTTTCTTTCAATGATTTAATTCAAAAATGAATTATTCATTAATATTATCTTAATTTATGCTAGGAAGAATAAATAATTAAATAATTTATTCATTGTTTTAATTAATTATTAAAAAAGAAATTACGAAAAATTAGTTTTTTTAAATCAATGAATCAATTAATTAGTCTTTAATTAATCCTAATTAATTATAAATTTTAGCGAGTGTTAGGAATGATCGCTCATTATAATCTTTGTAACAAATTTTTATAAAATATATGAAATTGATCGTTAAAATTTAATTAAATGAAAATTCTTCAATGAGTGAGACATTTTGGTAGTATTTTGGATTATTGGGAAGAGAAATTTTTAAATTTAAAAATATGACATAAATTAACTTAAAACTTATTTTAAAATTTTATTGTTATTTATAATAATAATAATAGTAGTAGTAATAATAATAATAATAATAATAATAATAATAATAATAATAATAATAATAATAATAATAATAAATATATTCTTCGTCCTATGTTAAAGGAATAGAAAATAATTTGATTTATCAAAAGGAAATAAATTTTTTCAATTTGTTATCACAAAAATGAATCTATTTTTATAGATTAAAAAGAGAAATTGAGAAAGCAAATAAAATTTTCTATTTTTCTTTTTGGATACATCGTATAGCAATTTTATATTATAGCCGGAAGAGTTGTTAGTAATCGTAGATGTCGAATTTTCAACGTTGTAAAATGTGAATAAGCAAGTATGAGTGAATAAATTTTTTTGATGTATCTCAAATGATATTGAGATATAAATAAGAAATGATAAAGGTACGAGTTAGTTATGAAGTAATTGTATTATTTGTATTATTGGAGTTATCAGAGAAGAGCAATTAAATGGACAAAGAAATGACTTAGTTAATTATTCAAGATAAATAATAGCAATATTTCCAATGATAATTAAGCATATAAAAGCCAAATGTTTATTAATGGAAATAATCCAAAAGGCAATAAATATACATACAATTTGGTGGCAAGTAGTTGAAAGATAAAAAGTGTAAAATTTATCGAATATTTTCGATTTAATTAAATTTGCAATTAATTTTCGTTAGATGATGATATAGAATGTTGATATAATGAAATTTTAAAAGAGAAAAAAAATAGCAAAGATGAAGTTTGCAAACTGCCAAAATATTTAGATGTAATATTCTTCCTTTCATTTCTCTCAAAATTAAACTACTCTTTATTTTTCATTTAAAATTAGGATACGATGTCATAACGAATTTAATGAGTGCAAAGAGGTCATTTTCAGAAGATCAACACTGAAGGAATTGCAACTATGAATTTCAACATTACTTCAATGAGCGGTGTAAACAAAGCGATGTTCTTTTTTGTTTTGCTGAATATTTAAATTCTTTTAGTTAAAAAAAATAATTAAACCAAAATAGCAAAAAAGGAAAATTAAAGAAAGACACCTTTTAAAAATAAACGACACCTTTTTTTCTTTCATAAAATATAAATTCAAATATAAAATATTAACTAAGTGAGAAAGAGAGGTTATAATCCTTTGACTAATTCAATAGCCAACAGATGCGTAAATCCTGAAATAACCTTTTTCCGCTTTTCATTGATTCTTAATGCTATTTGAGAAAGCAGTAAACAGATAATCCTCTCCAGTTAGATGACCACATGTTCCTCATAAACAAATGTTAAATAAAATAATTATGAGGATGGGTATAATAGAATCCCTAACAACTACTGCTACCCACATCTATTATAGTATATGAGTTGAACAAAAGAAGATACAAATTAGTAGAAATTATATTTTCGACTGATTCAGGAGATTATCCAATGACATACAAATTATTTATTTTCTTCAAAATGATGAAGCATTTATAAATTGAGTTTCTTCTAAATTAACCTAACACTACTATTACCACCCTTTTCTTCGAAACTTCTAAATTTACAGAAGCTTCTCTTAACAGAAGAGATTGGAAGAGAAAGTAAAGAAATGCATGATTGATAAGTTGAATGTCAACTTATGCAATACATTTCACAAAAGGAAATATCATAATGTAAAAATTTTAGTGTTAATAATTAAGAATTAATTAATAGTGAATTTAATTGTTTGGAATTAAAATAAAAAAGAATATATAATAATATTATTATTGTAACTTTTTTCGAAAGATCATTACAAATTTTTGAAAAAAAGGTAAAAATAAATGTGATCACTGATGGATATATATTAAATAATACACTTCAACATCTGTCCATAAAACAAGCTTCAATTAAAATGCATACGAAATGTCCAATATAACAATTTTTATGCCTATGTTTATTTTAAAATTAATTATATGAATATTTAAATAACTGGCAATAATAAAATCTTGCACATTTCTTACACCAAAAGAATTAAGTGACTTCTTTTTTGTTAAATACAATTTCAAATTTTATTTGAAATGTTTGTTACTTTTGTCGTATCATTGTTAAACGATAAAATTAACTGTTTAACTTTAAAAATGAATTTAAAGAAAAAATTTAAAATTCATTTTTATGAAATGGATCGTTTCGATAATTATATTTTATTTTTAAGTTGAAATATTAATGTTAAATATTGCATGGATATGTAAAAATTTATTTATAAATTGGAAGATAAGTTTGATTAAAAAATATTCGGAAAAAAGGTCAGATAGCAGCAGGAGAATTAGTAATGAAATTTAATTCTTATCAAAAACAAGCAAGTCTATGAGAATCATAATTTCAGGGTTAAATTCTATGTTTAAAGGATTAAGACTAAAATTATAAAGGGACGAATCGGTCCTGTCTTTATCCGATCATAATTTCAAACTATATAGAAGTCTAAACAAAGTCACAACTATGTTTTATTGAAAAAAAGGAAGTTAAATTAGTCGCATGGTTTTTATCGATATTAAATATTTGACCCAATAGAAAGGAAGTGTTCCCATCTGTCATCAACAACAGGCAAGACCAATAATTACATAGAAGGAAGTACTGAAAGCAAATAGAGCAGCCATTGGGATATTGAACATTGAAGCACATGAAACATTTGCGCAAAGTGCAAATATATTTCAAATTAATAAGAATATAGTTTTAGGGATATGCTTCATTACTATATATATTTTCTTCACTTTACTATATCGCGTTAAAAAGATTTGAAGATCCAATAATGTATAAAATTTCCTATTAAAAAAATATATAAATAAAAAGTTCTTCAAAAATTTTAAAATTACACGGAATGAATCACTTCGTACTGATTAAATTTACAATAAATGTGAAAATAAAAAGATACTTTAAGATATGCTTTCTATTGACAGCCGGAAAACTGTCAAATTTTGTTTTTTTCAAAATTATAATTTCTAATATATATAATGTAATAGCATATTATAATACTTAAATAATGTGCATCATTAGTGATTATTTTAATTCTATAATCAATCAATTCAGTAATGCCTATGATGATTAGTATCATTATTCCGTTCGATGTACGATAATCGGGAATTCAACAACAAATTAAACAACAGGCTTTTAAATTTTAATAAATATAGATGGATCGTTTTTCCCCCCAAGGAGATTCAATAAAAGATGCTTTGTTAGTTATAGAAGCATTGTTCACAACAAATCTTTGATTTTATTAACAAAAGCGTTTGCACAGCTGCTACTTCACAATGGGTCATCAAGATGATCCATCAAGGAAAACGAGATTTGATAGAGATCATATCAAGCAAGAATAGGACAGATTTACCAATCTGGACAGATATTACAAATGATGGTAAAGAATGAAGAAGACGATGGATGAGAAGAGAGGAAGGTCAGGAAAAGGTCAGAAAAGCGGAAAGAGATAGCATGAGGATTCGAATAGCTTGCACAATTGATGGGTCAAATCTGGACTGTTATTTCCAATCTGTCGCATATGTTATCGTAATTAAAATTTGAAATATTGTCTGCAACGAAGAAGGAAGGAAGGATATAAAATGTAACAGAGTGAATTAGAATGGAATTAATTAAAGAAAGGAATGATAGGAAATGAAAAAATTTTTGGATGAATATTTAACATACATTTTCATTATTTGCATGACAATAGCATCGATGAAATAAAATGATTTCAAATTGAATAATATTATCAAATTGATGATAGAATTTACATTCAAACGACAAATCCCTGAAAATTTTACTTTCAAAATAAATGTTTCAACAAAATTTCTTTTCTTTGCTAATTACAGTCAAAAGTTTTGAAATTGAAATTCTTGAGATTGTAAGAAATTACTAATGATAGGAATGAAAATATTTTCAATACAATTTGATTGATCGTAAAATTTTAAGGAACTTAAATACAGTCATAGTCAAAGCTTGAAAGAAATTTTAATGTGAATTCATCGACATCTTATAAAGAGTAATGACATTTGATGATGCTGTTATAGCGAAGTGAAGATGAGAAGTTCTATTCAAATATATCAGCAATAATTAATCATATAACTTGGATAATTGTAGCAAAGAAATTTTACTGAAAATTTATTATAAACGTGGATGTTTCGAGATTTAACGAAATTATCGGAGTTCCAAGCTTGGGTATAAATTTATAGACCGATTTATTGTACTTAAATTTGAAATCCTTTTACTCTATTGATTTTATTTTTACGTAAACATTGAAAATATATGTTAAATATTCATACAATCAGTAGAGGTATGATAAGATAAAGCCGTCTTCAACATCATTCTAATATGGATAACTTGCTACTGATGATAAAAATAGATATTTCTAATTTAAAAATTTGAAATATTAAAAACTTATCCTTAGTAAATGATTTCTATTCATTCATTTAGGAAATTAATCGTTTAATTCACCGATCGTTGTGAATAAATGACATTCCGTTTTGTCAGGAAGAAGAAAACCAATTAACAAAGATGAATAAAGTTTATTCCTCTCAGATATTATGTAGTGTAAGTGGAAAAATGCGAAGAAGCGAAAAGCTTTCATTGAAGTTCGGATGATTTTACAAAATTAAATCGATGAGTAAAACAATTGAGAATCGATGAGTAAAGCAATTGATCGCATAAATGAATGAATATAACATAATAATCAAATTTCAATACTGAAATGAAAGTGAATATATCAATTACATCAATCAAATTTTAATATATCAATCTAATTCTATTATGTCAATCGAATTCTAATATATCAATCAAATTCTAATATTGAAATGAAAGTTATTACACTGTGTAAGCCTAAAATCAAATATGAAGTTCGAAATGTTGAGTGTTTATTTTACTGCAATTTTGGTGCAAATCTCATAATATAGGAACTTGTTTATTGAATTAATCCCAGTGAAATATAACTTAAGAAAATGCTTTCACCTTCGATACCGAAATTGCTTTTATTGCATTTGAAAACATCGTTACAGCTAAATGTTGAATTGAAAGTATGAAGTAGAAATGGTCGGATAAACTAATTTGAGCAATCACATAAATTTCTTCATTTCAAAATTAAATTTATTTTAAATCAAAGCAAAGATTAAAAGTTCATATTGTTCAAGGTTAAAAAAGAAAAAATTCATTAAATTCTCTTATATTCGAAAAATTGCAGTTGAGAGTTATACTACTAACGAAAGGACTAAAGAGAAGGTCAAAAAGTTCAAATGGCATACAGATGGACAAGACATTTGCCGTTAAAGGTGTTGCAAAACTTTTCAAGTGGTAATAAATTAGGTCAAAAGAGTTGAAAAGATCCGATTTAAATCATTAGATGAAATGTATCAGCTGAAAAGTGCAGATTAAAAGAGAGCGAAAAGAAAACAACAAACAACGACTTTGATGATAATTGTTAATTTAGTCTAAAATAAAGAAGGAAAAAAGCGTATCATCTTGAAAATCTATTATTAAAGGAGGCGATCAAAGATCTATGCTCTATTTTTTTATTAAAAAAACTAAAATTTACATCAGATTATCTTAATTTTATTATTGTTATTTAAGGGAAAGATTTTCTTTGAGAAGATTCGATGTAAATTAGGTTAAGCGAAATAGGATGGTTTAATACTACAAAGAATTGAGATTCTGAAAATTTCTTACACCTAATTTCTTACCTATTAAAATTTCAATTTTTATTCTAAGTCTTACTACTGTAAAAAACGAAAAGAAAAAATTATGGCTAATCGTTTTTTCTCTTTTGAAGTATCGAAGTAAAGAGCATTTATGATATAGATGTTTCTATTTTATAGTGATAAAAATTTTACACATTGTAATCTATTGTGCTAGAGATAGCTAAGCTATTCGTGAATGAAATATTCGCTCTAATCTCTGAGGAATTTTGTTATAAGAAAGTTCTTAATTAGTATTTGAATTATTTCGAAATTATTATCATATTTTTCAAAAGTTTTATTGACTTTTATTATATGTATATATTTTTTTGAAATTTTCATTTTTGAGAAAGCAGGTAACCTTTACCTACCGTTTTTCCAATCATCAAACATAACATATTCTCTGCATTTTAAAACTTTTCTTGCAATCTCTTGGAATATTTGACATGCTTAATATTTCATAGCTTATAATTAATTAATTTCTTTTTATATACAAGTAATTGTTGAATGATCCTGTAATATTGATTTAAAATTATACGATTCTTATAGATTTGATATTCCATGATAACTCTCAATAGAAAAGACAAACTTGGTGGTGTTCTCGCTTATCGGGAAAAAATCACTAGCTGATCGTAATGGCGGTAACATGTTTGGTTGATTTACTTTCAAAGTAAAAGCTGATCCCATTGATAAAAATTTAGGCTTGTGTATCTGAAAATATAAAGCTTTTTTCTTTCAACTAAACAGTTCAATTTTATGCAAAATTTTATAGTAATTTTCGAATAATATCAAAAATAGAAAATCTCAACTTATAAATTCTTAACACTATTGGTGAAAAGAAATTCCAGAAGCTACTATGATATAGCTGAAAAATGATAAAGAAAGAAAAATTGGAAGCATTGAAACGGAAAAATATGATTACTGTAAACATGAAATTCTTCTAACATATCTACGGAAGCTAATAACAAAAATGTGCTAAGCACTGAATAAACTTCATTAAAAATAAAAATCCAATTGCTTAGCAACAGTTTTTAAAATGTAAAACGAGTTTCAATAAAAAATAAATGTACATTTCAAGCAAATAAAAAAGGCAAAGTTTTTAGTTAGCGGAAATTGATTTCGTTTCAGACAGTTTCGTGAAATTGTCGTGAAATTTTATAGGATATGATTTAAAGAAAGAAGAGGAAGAAGAAGATATCTATCTCAAACTCAAATTCGTATGCGTTCGTTCAATCACAGATTTTATGATACAAAGAAAGAAGGAAAAAGGAAGAGGACAATATTATTTTCAATATTTGGCTGAAAACGATATTCCACAAAAATATAATTTGCAATGAAAGTTTTCTTTTTAATAAAAACCTGTTTTAAAAAAATTTAGCTTTCCGGAAAAAAAATTTTCACTTATGCAAATTTATTCCTTTTTATAAATTGGTTAATTTGAAATTCTGAATAATATCAACGAATAAATTCATGAAAATCATTACATGAAGTACCTGGTCAGAGGAATCACATTTGGGTATTGCCCAGTCAAGTACCACATCAACGTCTGATAAATGACCATTTTGTTCTTGACCTGCTATCAGCATTTTCCTGAAAAGAGATTTAAAAAAGTCTAGCAAAATAATTTAGCACTATTCGGTGGTCATTTATCTAATGATAATATTTCGAAGTTAATTAATTATTAACAAATCGGGAAAGTTAAAAATTAGAAGATAATGATGATAAGTAAATCAGCTTCTCACTTCCTTACGTAAAAGATTCGATCATCAGTAACAGAGTGAATGGTATATTTAATGTATCATTTAATCTCTTCTCTTATCTATCAAAAATGACTCAAAGATCACATGGGAAACATAAATCGATAGAGGCAAGTCGAAATTTCAAATAAAAGAAGAAATTGAAATTTAAAAAGTAATTTACATGCAGACAAATTGTTGGACAGATAATTCAATGAAATATGTGAAAAAGGAAAGTGAATTATGTATAACATTTCATTCATCTTTCATTGATCTGTTAAAAATTGAATTCATAGTAACTAAAAGTTTTTCAAATCGAAAATTGTTTACAATCAATTTGAAATGAAATTTGTTAACTATCCAATAGTTCTGTTACATGTGATCGATATTTCTGTAGATTGTACAAAATTTCAATTAGTATCTTCAATAATTTCATCAGAGAAATTCTATTTAAAAATTAAACTTAGACATATCACTCTGATCATACTGATGAAATTCATGATAATAAATAATGCATTATATATAAATAGAAGAAATAACGTTTATTTCAAAAATGTGACATATTACCCCATTGCATATTGACAATATCAATATCTTAACTTCTTAATTGCACTGAATGTGTCACAGGTAGCTTATTTTATAAACAAATTTATTTCATAAATTTGAAAACAAGTATGAAAGAAAATAAGTTTCCATATTAAATAACATTGAAATGCAATTAAGCTATATTTCGAATTTTTTCCTAATTGAAATAATAACTTTTGTTTGAAACAAAAAAGACAAACCGATAAAATTTGAAATTTAAAAATTTAAATTTATTTTACTGAAATGTGCAAAGATACACTAATATAATGTATCCTATCAGATGAGTTTTAGTGTTAAATTTATTTTCAACCTATGATATGAAATATTTTTGTAAGAAACAAAATAAATCGTTTATATCAATTCGCTCTCAAATCGTTACACCCATTCTTTTTGATAACAATTTACAGTGAAGCAATTGTAATATTGGTCATGAAAAAATCTAAAATTAGGAAAAAATAACTTCACTTTGTTTTAAATGGAATTTAACTTGATCTCTTCATCACAACAATCACAACACTCTTCACATTCTCATTTCATTGATAATTTCGCACAACTTTTTACTATAATATAAATGCCAAAATTTCATCTTTGTAGAAATTGGAATTTAAAAATTTTTTTTAAACTTTCATTTTGAAAGAATTTTCAAAGAATTTAAGTTTGCTATTAGATGGTTGGTCAAGGAATTTGCATTTTTGATAAATTTGTGGCCAATATTATAATTATTTAATTGTAAATTAATAGACGCGGAAAAACGATTGAAGATTTGCTGTAAATATTTTGTTTTAAATCTTGCAAATAGACTGAACTCTTTCAAAGGATGAAATATAATACAACAAATGAATAAATTGCAACCTGGCTCCGTTTCCTCAGTACTTACCTAAAATCTCATCAATTCATCTCAAAGTAATCCTTAATTATTATTTTTAGAAATCGCTGATTTACAACAATAAGAATTCATATTATTTCCATGATTACTGGAAATCTACTATTCTTGAAAATAAAAATCGAAATGTAAAAATTGCTGATAAACAAATTGGCCAAGATTAAGAAAATAAAATCTACTGGAGGTAAATTTCTTTTTTGAAAAAATTCTATAACTTGAATCCAGCCAGTAAAAATATCAATTTTATGAAATTTATTATCTCATTTCAACTTTTCATGCTTCATGTATTTTAAAACATTTTGTGGTCAATCAAAATTATTTATCAAAGTTTGAAAATTGAGAACTAAGAATACTATTGTAATGTTGAAAACGATACAACCCGATGAAGGAGAACCAATACAAATTCTGTATCAAAATAACGATATCCGTTGTCTTAGTTGACAGTTTTAGGGGAAAGAGAAGGAAGGTCATTCATTCTCTTTATCTCTTCTTTACTACTAATATGACCTAATATCCTCTATCTCCTTCTTCAATCGAAATCACCTGTCAATTTCAATAGTTCCGTAATTACATATTTTGATAAATGAAGCCACACGAAGGTATATTATATGTGGCTCTTCTCGTATATTTATGCTTTAATTTACGCATTTAGGGAACTTTTAATTGGTTTATTTTAAAACAAACACTTTGAAATACTATTAAGTTATCCTCACTGTTACCTATAATAATAGAAGTAATGCAATTATATAAATATAATTTACCATCTGCAATTTGTCCGTTCATTTGTTTACTTGTTCAAATGTATTTAATTTTACTGACAAAGAATTAGTAATATTATAAAACTAACCTGTTGATAGGTGGTGGTTCGCTTGAATCTTTGTGTCGCCGACCATTTTGCAATTTATTTTTCCATTTTTGTAATCTATCACTGCTACCCTGAGTAAATTCAAGAAATCCACGACTAAGCCGACTACTAAGAGATTCACGAAATTCATTAATGTTATTTTGTCTTCGATTTATTCCATCTTTATATTCTGTCATTGAATGTAAACTGTTAACTGAGGAACAATCACCACGATAGCCACCAGAACCATGTGAATTTAGCGTTGAATGTGGTGAATCAGGATGTGGAACATCAATGATAATCTCAGATGTATCATTAGTATCTGGATATTTTGCTACAGAATCTGTTGCAACATTTTCATTTGATGTCGGATAAAATGGAATAATTTTGGAGCGTTGTTGTGAAAGAATATTGTTATTGTTAGTTTTGATAGAATCCCGAAAATGATGATTTCCTGATGGAGAAATTGCTTTTGTTTCAAAATTAGCTACTGGTGATTTTTGATCTATTTTAGTCGGAGGAAATATTGAGATTTCTTTAGGATTATTTAAATTCTGTTCATTTGATGTAATCGTTGTTGCTGATGCTTGGAATGTCGCTTCTGCTACACTTTTCTCCGTTATTTTCCCCTGTAATTTCATTAAATTAAAAGGAAAACTTTTAAAATGAAATCTAAACAAAAAATAGTTGAGAATTATGAAAAATAAATAAGAAGATTTTTCCCACTATTTACAGCTTTCTACGATGCAAATTTGTTTTTTTCTTACATCCGACGAAAAGATCGATATTATTTATGAGAGTGGCAAGAAAAGTGTCAAACGAGTTTGCAATGAATTATAATTTTTAAATCATTTTCACTGACTGTATTAATGAGTTTTATTATCATTTAAAATGTCATAGATTTAAGCAAAATTTTGCATCGTAAAATAATAAGTTGAATGAAAAGTTATGATCTTTAATTTTATAGATATTTCAACAAATATAAATCATTGCATTTGTAAAAAACAAAAGAAAGAAAGTAATAAATTTTCAAATTTCAAAATTCCCAAAAGAGTTTTAAAAAATCCCAAAAAGATTTAAGCAAAGAAGTTGAGCTTCGGCAATTTAATTTTATTCTACGAAAGAATAAATCGTAAACAATTCATAGAATTATTCTATGAAAGAATGAATCGTGTAAACAACTCATAGAATTATTCTACTCCTTTAAATATTCATTTATCTATCTCTCGTATCGGTTCCCTGTTTTTTGTAATAAAGTTGGAAATGCTTTAAAAGTTGGAAGAAATTAATACAGGTGCTATACCATAAATTTATTTTAGTAAATATTTATTAAACTAAACCATTAAAATGCAATAATTTAAATTAAATTAAAAACTATATCAAATTTATGTTAATAAATATTTAACACAACAGAACAATGATGCTTTACAATTAATTCATTTCCTTCATCAATTAGACATAATTTATTAATTTCAATTTATGTCTCTCTATTAAATATTACTTTCTAGAGATGAGAATTCAGAAATTTTCAAACGAATAAATGAAATGTAAACTTGGGAGGTAAATGAAATAAAACAATGTAAAACAGATACATTAACTGAATGATATTTATCTATGCAACAAAAACGCCTGAACTATTCGTAACGATAATTAAACATTACTCAAAATATTGCTATGACTAATATTGAAATCTTCATAGTATAATAGATAAATAATTCAAAGATTTCATCTTATCTTGTACCTCAAAGATTTCATCTTATCTTTTGCTTCCTAACTATCATCATTATACATAATACCATAAATTCATTAAAGTGCTTCTGTTAAACTAATGACATCTTAAACTTTAAATCTAATGTTAATTACTAGTTCTCCTTAATTTCATACCACATCACACTGCTATTTTACCAGCCATCCTACTATTAATACCAATAACTTACTACATCACTAAAACTTAAAAGTGTAAATATCGCATTACCATTATTGCTAAGCAAATATTGCTGGGAAGGAATTCGTAATATAGAAGGCAAATGAATAAGAAAATAATATCGGCAGACCTTGCTGATGAATAATTTTTTTGGTCTGCCCAGTGAAAGTGTCGCAGAGACCGAACAGTGTTGCGGGTCACTGATAATGAAAGTTCGATTGTCAGCGATCGATCCTTGTTGCTGTTGGATTGCGCTGAAAAAAAAAAAGAAACCAATTAATGATAAATGTGGAAGAACGTTGAGCAATAGAATTTTTAATTCTCTTTTCTAATAGAATGAATTAATTTGAAGAATTGAAATTTCTTTTTAGACAATAGAATATACAAATAATAATTAATTAAAAAGAGATTTTTTTTAATTCTGATCAATTCATTAAAAAATTTAAAAATTTTTAGGCATAGAAAATGAATTTCATAAAGCAATGAAACAGTTTGAAAAAGAAAGTTTCAATCGTTGAAATTTAATTAAAAATAAGAATTGATCTTTTAAACTGTATTATATTTTACATACAAATATTGAATATTTATTTTTTTTAAAATGCTCCTTTGCAAAGTCTTAAACAAATTCAAATTCTATTCCAAAAATATAAAACATAAAGGAAATAATTCAACCTATAATTAATTCAAACTTATTTCCCTTTAAATTTCAGGTCTCTATTTAATTTATCAACGATATATTCTAACAATTTCGCAGAGATATCGAAATGGATTGAAAAAACAAATGTATTATTTAAATCAAATATTTACAAAGTGTTTGAGTATGCAATTATATATACACAAATATCATTTATAATTTCATAATACATTTTCCCACATAACTTTTTCTTATTTATTCACCAAAATACTAAATAAATATTATTTAGCATTGATAATATTAGATTGGTAGAAATAAAATAAGGTTAATATGTTTTTAAAAATGTGATCAAAAGATTTATTTTGTGATCGGAGAAATTCCAAGTGCTAAAATTTGTTGGAAATGATCAATGAGAAGGAAATTGAATTTATATCGATGTTTAGTCTGCATTATCTTTTAATAATGAGGGTGCCACAATTTGAGATTTTAATTTAATAAAATTAATTTATACAGAAATTTATGAAATCAATTTATTAAGATGTTTATATAAGTTGCATTATTTTCTAATAAAGATAGCATAATTTGAGGTTTCGCATTCCTGCAAGGTATGAGCCTTAAGAAGTGATAGAGACATATTTAGTAAAAGAAACTATCAATAGAAATTATGTGAAAACTTTACTAACTAATTCATCAGGAAGTTTTATAAACTTTAATCATAGCATCTTCTTTTTCTTAAATGTCTATTCGTAAAATGGACTAAAAATAAAAATCGAAAAAATTGTTCTCCCTAGCGAAATGAAGATATCGGATCGAGTGATGAATTGGAATGGTGTATTGAGGATCTGCGCATTAAAATTTGACAAATATTATTTGGTATAATAAATAAGATGAATTATAAGTGATACCGCAGGGAAATGAGAGAAGTAATAGCTTGAATTAAATTAGTTTGAGATTGAATCTATCATTCACGATTGTATGGCAATATATTGCTGCTATTTAAAAATGTTCGCTTACGAAATATCTTAAGAGTTAAAAGAATTGATTGAATTTCAATCGATTTAATTTAATCGAATTTTTATTTTGTTTTATTATTGTCTCAATTAATACTTCATTATAAGTTAATGCTCAATATTCACAAGATTTGCCCATCCAGAAAGTTTTCATCTCATTATCCAAAAGAAAGAGTATTAAAATAAAGATATGATAATTACGGATTGATCTGAAAGAGAAATTAGACTGTCACAAAACAATAATTGCTTCAATGATATCTAACAACAAGAAATGAAATAATTGTTAGGATAAAAAGAGGAATTCATTAATCAAATTACTATATTATAATATCTCCATAAGCTATTTAAATTATTACATTAAAATGAAATAAATGACATCATTGTAATTCCAACTATTTAATTTGTAAATTTTAATTTGAACCATTTTGCAATAATTTATCTGATTCTACTGGATTACTGTAGCATTATTCGGTATTGATATATCTTGTGATAATAATATTTTACGCTGTCGATAATATATCAATTTTTTGAATCTCATATCATTAAAAGAAAATTGTAAAGAGAGATGGAATGCATAATAGATAAATGTAGATAAATATAAAGGGTAAATGAATGAAAAAAATGATAATCAATATAATATTACGATCGAGAATTTAAATGGTAATTATATGTAAGCTCCAAATCAACCAATCAATCGATAATTCTTGATGGAATAATTTACTGATATGATATTATAATGCTTTAAAAACTCTAACAAACCATTCATATTCATCGCTACTTTCCAAATTCTTATCCAAATGATGTTGAATCGGTAAACATAATGTATTGCGTAGTTTATAATTATTGATCTTGCAATGATGTGACATCAGATCACACAACTTTTATTAGTATTGTTATAACATTTAATCGATTGAATAAATTTGAAGTGAAATAAAGCTGAAAATTATTCAAAAAAACTTTAGCTAGACTAAAATAATTAATTAATTAATGCGATATTCACAAAATATTATAGTTTGTATAATTTTAAAATTTATTTCATCATAATAAAAATAACTGAAGAATTTGTTGAATGCAACAGAAAAAACTTATTCCCTAATAGTGAAACTATGAAAGAGAAATAATTATAGTTGACAGCTTATTGTTCTTTTCATAGATATATATGTGTGTGTGTAATCAGTTGTTTAAATTGTTTAGAATTTTATGAAAATTTATTTTTGAATGAGAGAAAAAGAGAGAGAAAGAATTTTAAAAAGTTTTGTTTTTAATTATTAATGAGATGAGATAACGTAATATTCAACAAACTAAGAGCATATAATTATATTTTGAATAAAATTTGTAAATTTCTCTGAAAAATAAAAAAGAAAAAATCAATAGGCTGTCAATTAAAAATCAATCAAATTTCATCTCCCAGATATTTCATAGAGTAAAAATAAAATAAACACTAATTGGCTGTATACAAATTCAAATCAATTATTTATTTCCACTTCTTTTTTTTTTAACAAAAACAAGTTTTTCATTTGTTTTACACTTTTTGTTTGATAGTAATTAAATCCATTTTTTGAAAATTATTTCTAACAATACTATAAATATTGACAGCTTAATATATTTTATAATTTTGATAGAAAAAACTTTTTCACATTTAATATTAGAAAGTTCAAAGAATTATTAAAACAATTCATTTTTCTTATCAAATTCACATTTATCAATTATCGATATCTTTTCATATCATATTTCGTTATGTTATCATTGTTAGTTTATTAGAATTTAAAAGAAGAAGAATGAAATCCTACGAAAGTGTTCTCTTTTTTTTTGGTTGTTGAAATCTTTGCTATATTTTACTATATTATATATTTGTTTTATATATTTTACTATATTATACTATATTATATTATATATTTACTATATTTTATATTTTATATGCTATATTATACAGGCTTTCTTATTCTAAAGCTGTCATTAGCTATTTTAGACATTTAAGCAATCCTTTCGAATGTAAATTTCTCGAAAAATAAAATGAAAGTGTAAATTCATTTAAAATTAATAAAATTACAATAAAATATTAATCACAAAATTGTACAACGGTTTGGTAGTGAAAGAATGATTAAACTAAAACGTCGTTGTTGCTGCATCCTTTTTATGCCAAAAGTAAATATTCGATAATAATGAAAAAGTAGAAGGGACCGCTTTTACCGGAATGAGTTCAAATAAAGGGTAAAATGAGAAATGAAGAAGGAAGGCGAAGGAATGAAGAAGGAATGGAGAAGGAGGAGAAGAAGGAGGAGGAGATGGGAAAGATGTAATTTTAAAATCTATTGAAAGTAAGTAAATTTAGAAACGACACTATCATTATCATTGTATCGCTTCCTGAATTATATTTCATTCTACTTCAAGGGATTTTAATCACGTCATAATTAAAATAATTTTATACTTTATATGCAATGAAATATTATTTAAAAAAGTAGTTCAAACTTTTTCTGCAAATTAGTTTTAATTAAGAATTCTTGATGCTAATGGAGTAAATAGCTTTAAGTTTTTCGAATAATTGAAATGTTATAAAATTAAGGCACTAAATTTTTCCTACAGAAAGGAAATTTATGCATTCTATAAAATTTTCAAATATTAAAATTTAATTTAACAAATCAAATTTCAAATTGAACATTTTATAGCATACTTTGTGTTTTCGGAATGCTAAAATTTTGAGAGGAAGGCCCAAAAATTTTAATATCTGTAAGATTTCAAGCAATTTAAATTAGAATCAATTTAAGATACTAAAAAATTTGATGAGAAAGAAAATTCCATTCTATATTTATTATTCTACAGCTTTAAATAAAAGAAGAATAGTACTAATTTCAACGATTGTTGTTAATAACATTCGATAAAATGAGAAAATTTCAGCCGATTTATAGATGTGAAAATTCCATAAGAGTTCAAATTAATCGCACTACGAACAACTGTCATCTAAAATGTATCAGTTTGATGCTAATAGTCTGATTCTCCGCAATATGTATCATTGAAATCTTATATCGGTTTTTGCATAACAATCGAATTTTTCTCCAGGAACAGTTAATCTCTAAAAATTTATTCCATCTTCTGTTCAAAAGCATTATTAAAGGAGACGATCCGAATGTCCTAAAAATCATTTTCAGCCGATAGATTTTTGAGTGAGATATGTTAATGATAAAGGTTGAATTTAGATAACAATTAGGATAATAGATCGAAGATGAAAATGTTTTGATAACGAAAGGTGTTGATAAATCGATCAAATGTAGTTTTCATAAGAAAAAAAAAAGTGAAAACCTGTCAGCAGCATTAAAAATAGCATCAGCGAAGCATTCACAACATCGCTTCTTCCTTAATATCACTTGGGTTTGATCCGTTTTGTAAGCTATCATTTTCTGCATAGTTGTAGGACTGAAATTTTCATATAATTTAATTATAAAATTAATTTTTTATTTCAACCTTTAATTAACTAAAATTTAGTATAAAGTATTGGCGGAAGAAAATAATGAAATATATTTCTCTCTCATATTTCCCAATAATTTTTGACTTCTCTTATTTCATAGATAGATCTTTGATCGGATTTACTTTGATCGCAATTAAAAGATTTGCTTTTTCTACAAAAAATTTCAATCAATAATTAACTATTAACTTAAAATTAACATGCCATTATGAATGAATCAAAAAATTAACATTAATGAAAAGAAGAAAAACCGAATAAATTTAGCGTAATTTCAAATTAATATTTAATTATTAAAATATTAGAAAAGTAACATTTCTGAATGAATGAACAACAAAAGATAAGATTATAACACAATTTGTCGCTATAATTGCAAAAACTATTGGAAATGGAAATGAAATACTAAAAACGAAAATGACCGAATGACAGATAAAATTATATCAAATCAGTAATTCTTAAAAATTTATTTATATTTACAGCACTTCGATCGCATTTTACCATTAGAAATTATTTCAGTTACATATCCATAATATGTATCGAACAGAATAATATATATATATCTGTCATAAAATTATGGAAATTATTGATATCTAAAATTTGACTTCCAATATCTAATCTATTTTCTTGCTTTCTACATTAAAGTCTATTTTTTTCTTTGGTTACTTTGAATTGCTAGAAAAGAAGCATTGATTGTAAAAGAAAATTTATTTGGGAATTCGCGGGAAAGTTTCCCATATAGGAATACTAGTATTTTCTGCTACAATTTTGAACGTTCTTAACAAATGCATTACTTAATCAAATTCTGCATTGTCGAAATTTATTTTTATCGATAAGGGATGCTTCAGTTACTTTCAATTTTCATAGGCATATTAAATCCAACTAGTCGTAAAGATAAAACATTTTAATATAATGCTCGTGAAATATAAGTGCATAAAATTTTGGTAGTCAATGAAATCCAAATAGGGGTTTTCTATTCTGATTCAATCAGAATTAGTAATATTCTAATTGCTATTAGAATTTAGGAAACCAGAATAATCGATTCTTTTTTTTTAAAATAAGAATTTATGGTTTTGAATAACGGTTCAACAACTATTAAAAATAACTAAGTTTTTAAATTAAAAGATAAATGAAATGATATATGACAATAAATAAATATCAACTATGTACTACTTCCAAAAAGGTCACCAAAATATGAGCGGAATATTTCATAGAAGGTCAAATTTAATAAATTTAATGAAAAGAATGAAGAATGAGATTGTGTGAAAACATTGGGAAACGTTGAAAAGATAAGGAAATTTATTGGATTTTTAAAAAATCATCCAAAGATGATTATGAAATTTTTTTTAATAATAAATGCCGATAATGATCAAAAATTGGAAAATAGGCCAGTTGGAGGTATTGTATCTTCATTACTTGAAGTTTTAGAATGGTTTATAGCTGAAACATTTATCAGTTAAGAATTTAATTTTTAACAGAAGCTGTGATGAATTAATTAACAAACCTCCCACGAAAAAGTTAACTAAATAAAGTAATTTCAGAAAGATGTAAAATCTAAATACATTTTAATTAATTGATAAAAGTAAATATTTACTAATATATTGTTAAAAATCGCATAATTTCATATCTTTCAAAGGTATGTAAAGTTTGAAACAACAAGCAATCATTCTTTTTTATTAATCTTCAAAACGATTATTTCGAAACTTCTCAAGGTCATCTTTACAGAAGTATTTCTGAAACATTAGAAAGATCATTAAGAATTCTTCTAATATTTTAGAAATATTTTTTAATATCTTCATACTGCATAACTATTGCAGAAATCGTTGCTGATATTATCGTTATGATTTGAAAGTTGTGATTAGATTGCTAAGCTAAGAGAGAGGAATAATGATTGTGAAGTTAAGGATTTAGTTAGTACATATGCCATCAATATTTCTATAAACTTTTCAATGATCTTATTTCTAAGTTGTAAAATTTGAAGCATATTAACTTAATTATTGAGCTGTATCTTGCAAAATATTAGAATGTAAAATGAATGAAACCTAGAATACACAGTTATTTCAATACAATAATAATGTTCAGTTTATGCTGAAAAATTTTCAGATGTTTAATTAAGTGAAATTTTGATTAGCATATTAAGAAATATTTCTGTAGCATCTGGAAATTGGAATTAAAGAAAACATTGTCATTTGCAGATGGCATTTGCTATAAATCTCAAAATCCTTCCCTATAACAATAATGCAATGGACGATTTTATCACATTACTCATTTTATTGCTATGATATGGAATTTAGATCTCGCGATACTTTTTGTTTTAATTTTACTGTGTTTTTTATTACATTGTCAGATTTGTGAGATAACATTTTCACTTAGCAATTATTTCTTTAACAAAATTCTAATTATAAAAATAGATTTTAATAAATTTCAAACTGCATAATAAATGGATCAATTGAGAAATCACTTGCAACTAAGGAATGTATGTGTTAAGGAATGAATTTTTGATTTTTGATGCTTCAAAAATGCTGATAATGAAAAAAACTGCTGACTTCATAGTTATCTGTGAAGATACCGTACAACAAGCTGGCAACAGCAGTATTTTTTTTTGGTGGAACAAACGGCATATTGAAATGTTTGTGGGATTTGCAAAATATAGCTGCAGTAAATAAAAATTTGCATCAGAAATTTGAGATAATTTTGATAATAGGCATTTAAAAAATTTTTAACATGATAAATATTTCAATCACATCTTCTGAATTTATATTCATATTAGTGCAAAGTTTATATTTTCCATATCTCTTAAAATTAGCAAGTAGTTGAAATAACGACTTGGAAGTTTGAGCAGTTGAAAATATCGATTTCAATAAATATTTTATCCTAGCATGGACTCTGACACAATTTCGATATTCTCAGTATGGAAGTTATGAAAGAAGATAGGGATAGAGGAAATAACATAACGGAAGAAATAAATTACCTGCACTCAGGTAATAATGACTAATCAGAATAAATTACTGAAGGATGAGAAGTTTGAAATTTAAAAATAAAATAAAAATTTCTATATCCTACTTTTTCAATATTTTATTTAAATAAATTACATCAATTGTCGAAATTACTATTTGCATTTTAGATTTTGAATTTTTGTTAAATTTGTAAAAAATAGTCCTATCAAAGGGAAAAGTGTCTCGTAATCGAGAAGAGGGGGAGGTCAGGTGATATAACAAATGTATTCATTTCGTTTATAAAAATATTACAATGAAAAATTGAGGAAGAAAAATTTATGAATATTGAACAAATATGAATGCTATATTTTTGATGAGGCAACATTTTTCCAATTAATATCTCAATTTGAATATTTTTAAATGTATCTTTCCTTAATTAAGTACAAACTTATTCTAACAAAATTTAATTACCTAAATTAAAATGTGGATTTTAATTACCTAAATTAAAATTTCATAAAATATGAATTAAATTGATTATCCTACATATATACACCATAATATATTAGTATGATTATTTATGGTAATTTCTGCAAACGCTTCTAAGAAAATCACTCTCTTGTTTTTTGATATTATGTAAAAACTTTATATAAAATTGTGAAGAAGAGAATAAAGCAGTTAACGGAACAAAGTGCAAATTGTACAAATGATTTCGAAACAGGTAAGAATGTTAAAGTGCTCCGTGGTAAGCAGCTTATGATCTATATTCAGTAATAGGAGTAAATTGCATGAATGAAGAAGAAACTGGTTCAGAGGAAGAACTTAGCTTAAAAAAGAGATTATATTAGGAACTTAAGAAAATTGTAGAAGATTTTAAAGAACTTGACTGATAGATTTGGGAAATTTCAGACTACTTTAAAGTATTATTTATAGCTCGAATCCACAATAAACTAAAAAAATATAAAGATTCAGATAACAAGCTAAAACAAACATTTCTGATTTATTATTTATCTGTGGGCCACCAATCTCTCGATAAATTTCTGTCATGTCACACTTTTCCTGATCGTGTTGTTTCTGTATTGATTGTGATAAATCATCGGCTTCTACCATAGTTCCATGAGTTTCTTTCAACTTGGCGCAAATTGATTCACAACTTAAAAAGTTCAGCTCTGTGGTATCATCGTTAGCAGATCTGAGACAGGATTTATCAGTTGGATCACAATATTCAGGTTGAGATTGAATTTCTGCACTTAAATTTTGTTCCATGCAAATGGTACGGTTATTTAATTCTTGATTAGTCAAATCTTTGCTAACCGGTACATCACAAAGATCTTTCTTTTCTGATGAGGATTTTCCTTCATTAAGTTCAATATGATTAAATGATTTTGATTCTGAAATTTCTGTTTCTCCTCTTCGTGTTATACGTTTTATAAATTTGACAACCTGATGAAAGCCTTCTTCGGATGGTTGACGAATCAATCGGATTGGCAATGATCGAGTAATACCTTCTTTCTCTTCCATCTTTTTCTCCTTTTTCTTTATCTCTTTCTCCCTTAGATGATCCTTTTGATCGCCTTTATCTTTTATAGAGTTAGTCTCAGAATCTATATTCTGCAATCTGCCAAGACTTGAATTATTATCAGATGAATGTGATGACGAAATATCTTGCGCGGTAATATCTATCTCGTTAGATATAACATCATTTTCTATCATTATTGTGAAATGCTGTTCATTCACTAAGATATTCACACGATAATTAGGTAGAATTATAGCAATAATAGCGATAGTGATAATAGTACTATCAGAGGTGGTGATAGTAGAAGTAATGATAATGATGGTAGTAGTGGTGGTTGTAGTGTTGTGGTAGTGATAGAATAGCAGTGACCCAATGTTATATCAGTTCCACTCGTACAGACGTTTGCGCTAGGAAATGCGGATGATATGCTACTAGCTTCCATCTTACAGCTTCCTCTTCATCATCTGTTTCCACTCTAGATATGCTTCTTTAAACGCAAACTGTTCCTTCTACTTTTCCGACTTCTTGCACCTCTTCCTTATCATCATTTATTTTCCTCCGGCAATTGCGCTTTCTCTAATCCTTTCATTTCGGCACACCTCTGTTCCATTATAGTTGATGAATAATTTCGATTATATATACTAAAGACATCTCGATCGAAGAACGGTACAAATTTTCACATTAGCTCTATTTTTATTCCAATTACTCACATCTTTCCAACTTTTTCCTACACCTTCTGTGTTGGTCGTAGTGCAAATTATTAGCGACAGACTCCCAATCTAAAATTCGCTCAGCGACTACTAACCTCTTTGGTGAAACACTGTGTCGATCATTATTTAAAATTGAAGTTGTATTTGTCACTGATGAAGGATTTGATATCATATTAGATTCTGCCTTCTTGTCAGAATTTTTTCCTGATTTTCCGGAAGACAGTACATCTAGTGACATTCGAATTAGTCTGATCTTTGATGGTGTGACCCCTTTGGATGAAGTCCTGAAATAAGGAATTATGTGCAGATTAAGAGTAAATCAAATCAAGAAGAATTTAAAAATATCCAGGTTTTTTCAGCAATCAGAAATATTGATGAATCTGTTAGACAACTCTTCGATAAATTTCCAATCCTACTATGGTTACAGAAGAAATATTTGTTTTTTGTAACATTCGAAAATTTAAAACATTTAAAAGAAATTCTGGAGTTCTTCCCAATTTACACAAAGTACTAATTTTCTCTCTTCTCTTCTTTATTTTTCTTTCTTGATAAAAAAGAAGTATGTGAAGGAATGTAAGAAAAAAGTTTTTTGCAATTTAAAATATGAAAAGTGTACCTTCCTGAAGCTATCACATTGTAATTAGAAAGAATTCTAATTCAGTTGAAATAGGAAGAAATTAATTTTATCCATTCCTAAAGGCTGCTTATTTTACTTTCTTAAAATAAGCAAATTCCATTTTAAGAAAATAAAAGTCAAAGAAGATGAATGATGACCATTTAAACGAAATTTTCAAACTTGCAATAAAATAACTTAAATGCGACCATGAATAAATTAAACTAGATTAAATATGGATTAAAGAGTAAAGTTAGGGAAATAATTACTGATTCATTATCGAGCATAAACATTGATTCTACAGGAATGAGAGACACTATTATTTCCATCATTCTTACAAAAAAAAGCTTGGATTATAAAATTTGGCTTAAACTAACAAGCCTGAAAAAGATTATGATTTGCTTCAGTGTAGTAAACAACTTTAATATAATGAGAGAATGATTAAATAGCAATAAAAAAGTGAAAACGACAGTAGAAAGATAGAGATAGGTAGTAATTAAATCTTAGTCTTTAATTTTACCTTAAAATCATAGAAATAAGGATTTAAAGCCTCATTTTGAAGGATTTTAACAACTACATGTGCTAGTTAATAACATAATAACAATAGTAATAATTATTATTAATAATAATAAGAATTAATAATTAATAATAACAATTAATAATGATTAATAACAATAACAATGATAATTAATAGCAATTAATAATAATAATAATCCTTTCCTCTTTTTTCTTCCTCTTTATTTTGTCCATTAATTTTGTTCACTTTCTTCTTTACTGATACGTCAATGATTCATAAGTTTTGATAGCTTTGACAGGAAAATGGAAGGCGTAAAAACATGAAACACAATCTTTAAACCAAAAAACGGAACATTTTTTGAGCTAACGACATCGATTAAATATAAATTGTTAACAGATGCCAAATACCGGATTCTGAAATCACGATTTGAAACATGTGGTCAGCTCTACAAGAAATAACATTTATTAGCAGGCTTTTCTCTAATAATAATATTAACCATAAGCGTATACGGTCATAACCAGAATGACCGTTTCTAACACTTCCTGATGAAGCTCCCCATATTCATATATTATTATAACGGTACATTACATTCATTTATTGTTCTGAAAGAAATATTCCGTATTCTTTCAAATAGACACACATATATACTTGACAGAAGGATTTATCGATTGATTTCATTCTATTATAGTTTGAAGAATTTCTATAATAAAATTAGAAAAAATAAAAACCTCTCAAATTGAGAATGAATGATAATCAATATAATACACAGGTGGATTATTTCTAGTGTTGTAATCAGTGAAGAATTAAGTTTCATCTATTGTAATCTTTCGTTGTAATCCTTATTTGAAAAGGTTAACAAATTTAGACAATAATAAATAAAAGCTTCTACAAGTTAAAAGTATATGAGCCTTCTGATAAGTGTAATATAATGATTATGTATTGTTTGATTATCACTGCCATTTTTTTGCTGTTATTACAAATCTCATCCAATAATTTTCTGCTTTTGCTCTAAATTCTTGTAATCTCTGTCGTTAAAGATTTAACAAAAAAATAGTATATGAAATATCTACGAAATAAATTATTGAATCCATTCCTTCTAAAATCTAATTAATTAATTCATACGTCAAAATTTAACCAAACGGCTTTTGCAATAATAAAAATATATTAAAAGCCTTGCGAAGTTTCTAATGCATCTTCATTATTTTTCATGGTTAAACTAGAGATGGTTAATGAACAAAACTGATATTTACTGATAGCTTCATCGGGTTATCCATTCGTTTCCACAAAAAGTCTGAATTTAAGCTTCTCTGGATAAATTATTTAGTATGAAATACAAATCGGAATTCCATGTAATTAGTTATCATGTTGAATTGAGATCATAATAATCCGTAACTTGTCCGAAAGATCGAACAGAAAATTAAAAGAGCATTGATAATTATTTAAATGAGTGACTTTAATTTTAATTGCTATGAATATTAATAAAAGAGAAGTACCGAAGAAACACATTCAGAAGTTAATAATTCAAATATTTCATCTTGGCAAGAAATAAAAATTTAATCATTTAAAGTTTTGAAAAAAAAATCAAATTCAAAAGATTAAAACTCAAAAAACTTACTCAACACGGAATATGCCAAGTTCGAGGGATGGCAATTTTACAGTTGCGGTAGGGAAAGTAAAATTTCCATCAATGAACTGTTGTTTTAGTTTCATATTTATTTCATCCTGAAATTAAGAAAACTTAAACATCAAGTAGTATCTCGTATTAACGGTATTGTGACATATGACCTTAAATGGCTATAATGATCGAATAGTAAGCTTGAAAGTAACAATTATTTGAAAAACAAGGATGCTTAAAGCTGTGATAACGAACGAAACACTAAATGAAGAAAAAATTCTCATATTTGAAGGAATCTGAAAGCATAAAATAATAATAATTGAATTAGGATAAAGGAGGATATTAAGGAAATTTCATTTTCATTAGAAAATCTTTAGAATATTCAAAATTCCTTTTAATAATGAACCATGCAAATACCTGATTATTCATTACAAAACTATGAACAATATTAAAAAAAATTCTTCCGGGAATGGAATTTTTAATTTTCCGAAGGAAGCGAATCATCTTATGATTCTGTTACCTTCTGAAAATGACTGAATAACTGAATATAAGAGAATTAATCGGAATAGATTAACCAAACAAATAAATCATTACTAAAGAAAATTGCTTTATAAGTTAATTAAAGCAAAAGTTTCGTGCCAAAAAAGGAATTAAAAAAAAATTAATATGGTATAATATAATATAATATCATAATAATATAATATATTATAATACAATATAGTGTAATAGTGTAAGATCCATCAAAATTATGTTTTAATTCTCTAAAACAGAATTAGTTAACAATTATGAAGTGAAATAAGAAGTAAATAGAGAAAGTTCACAATAAAATTTTAAACAGTTCAAAAAAAACCGCAGTATTAACAAAGGGATTACATGATGACTCTGAGGGTGTAACAGTTGTGCAGCTCTGTCTCTGTCAAGAAATTATTTTACTAATGATATCTTAGTTATTTCAACACATTGTGTATCTATGTATATGTGTGTATGTGTGTATGAAAGAAAGGAAGTATAGATAAGCTGGTGCAAAAAGTTTTATTTTTTTCCCTCGTGCAAATCTGAATGCTTAAAAGTTTGCTAGAAAAATGATCGTATAGACGTTACGCTTCGTTGTGCCATTCTCAAAATGCAACCATAGAAAATGTTTTTCCGTACATGAAAAGGAATCGGAAGAGAATGACATCATAAAGTCAATCAGGCAGTGTCATTCCGTGCCATCATCATCATCAGGTCTATATCATCCATAATGTGAATATCATTCCTCAATGGAACATATCTCTCATGAGAAGTTCTCTGCTTATTTCATTCAAGTTTCCCGTCAAAATATGATGCAGGGAGAATATCACCGTGAAATCAAAAAAAAATGAGGAGTGATTTCAGGAAAAAAACCGAAAAAGAAAATAAGAAATGGTACCAGAAGTTAGTTAGAAGACGCTATTAAAAGAACTAAAAGCTGTCATTAAAAAAGACTAAAAATTCAGTAATACTAGCAATTATTTTCAGGAACATATTCGTCACGATCAAAATGAATAATGTCAGATACTCTTTGAGAAAAGCGTTCATTTGGATGCCAGTTTTAATCATACATAAATTCTGGCATAATTAGTAATTAAATTTTTCTTAATATGACATTCAAATATATCTTGTAAAGATATTGGTTCAAAAATTGAAATTGAATTTTCGTTTCATCATTTGTTTCTTATTGTTTCAACTTGAAATTTTTGAAAAAAAAAACCAACTGTTAAATGAACTAAGTACTTTTGTCTTAACAATAGTCAAAACAAAAGTACTTCGTTGATTTTGATAGAGCAAGCTGATTGATAGCTGATTTTTAATTGATAATGTTGATGGGGATTGATCACTGATTTCTAATTGATAATGTTGATGGGAATTGATTACTGATTTCTAATTGATAATGTTGATGGAATTTCTTTAAAAAAATTAAAAGCTATGGATGAATAAGAGCGAAGTGAAGAATATGTGAGAATGAACGATATGAGATAATTGTAATTGAAAGATGTCTATAAATGAAATTACGTATCCTTAAAGGATGATGAAAATTCAACGATTTAAAATTGAACAATTTAGAAGAAATGAAATTGATTAATTGAAATCATACTATTAAATGTTGAAATATGGAACATATATCACTTTGCTACAATATGAGCTCATATATTTAATAAACTTTCTAACATCAGTTACTGACAACTGTTCATCAGTGAATTGTGAGAATGATTTTAATTTTTAGCAATTGACTTTTCCTTTTCTCTTTCTTTGTTTTCGTATGTTTCAAATTGATGCTAAAATAATATATGCAATTGTTTGAATCTCTCTTATCGATTATCAGTAATTTTAATCAAAATCAGATCAGTCATTTGAGCTTTTTTCACAAGAATATGAGAATCTTTAATACCAAATCATTTTTTAAATGCTCTTTACCTTCTCTCCAAAATATATTACTTCTAACTAATTTATTAAAAAAAAATTCGAAAAATAATTTTGTTTTTAGGTACCACCAACAGTATCGGATACAGGAGATGAAAAAGCCAGGTTTCCTTCTTTTTATCAATTGAAATAAGTGCTCAATTGTGATTTTATTGAATCGGGAAAATTCAGTTGAGAAGTTTTAAGCAATTCAGGCAGTTCAACGAATCAATAATTACTCTGAGAAGTGCGCTCAGTACAGAATGTGAAAAATAACAGTGAGTACTATCCAAATAGTTTCATCCTCTTCACATAGTTATGTGTATTACAGGGAACAATTGCTTAGCTATCGCATTGACGCAAACAATTTGAAACGACCAGAGGAAATTTGTTAACCGCTGTGTTTCTTAATTGTCGCCCAGCGCGACTCTACAATTCCTGTTGAAGTTGCATAAAATATATTGTATTGTTATAATGGTGCTAGGTGGGAGAGGTTCGGAATTAGTAGTGTAGCAATTCGGAGATAACAAAGACTGAGAATGTATGCTAATGATGATTCAGAAAAACAAGAGGGAGAAATGTGGGAAATATGATAAAGTTTGCATAGATGCTATTGTCAGCAGACATTCAGTGGATTTTTGATGAATATAAATGCTATTACGTGAGAATAAATGTTAGGAGGGGTCATGGTGTGATAATTAAGTGTGCATGAATGAAAATGACGTGTGGCTGGGAGTAATTGTTTTGGATAATGTGAGAGTGTAATGTTATTTCAGGTTGACAGGTTGACAGTATGGCACCACAAACAGCAAATGCCAGGCGTTCAACTAGTGGAAATAAAACAACAAAGGATGTGGAACAGGTGGCGGTATGTGTTAATTTTACTTCCGACACTTATATTTCAAAAAATGCAATTATAGCATGTGATATTCTATTTCGTTGGACACCTTTGAGTGCAGTAAGATAAAACTACTTCATTGTCATGCATGGATGTTCAAGAAAGGGTAGAATTAATCTTTCTTTTGTCCCTCTTAATCATGCTAATTAATCGTTACAAATTACAATTAATCTTTGCTTTCATAAATCACTTAGCAGTGAGGAATTTATTGCAGATATTTAGCGAGGTAGCCATGCGACATAACGTTGGTGTCCTGGAGTATTCAAGGACATGTCAGGCAGCTGCCTCAGGAATGGCTAGCGGTATTCTTGGATTAACTGGAATATCTGGATTCATTTTTTACTTCATCCTTGTTGTTTTACAGGTATTCTGTCTATAAACTAAATTTGTAGTATTCACTTTAATTTAAATTTACTTCAAAAGTTGTTTATATAACGAATTTGGATAACAGTTTATGTCTTCCAAAACCTATGTATTTTTAACCTCTCTCATTACTCATTTTAGTTTCATTTCTATTACAGGCCTTATTTTGGGAAATGAAAGCGAATTTTGAGTGGCAGAATTATTTCATGAGTCGAAGTTTATCGTTGACACATTCGTTAATATCTGGTTTATTCACTTATATTTTATTCTGGGTATTCTTATATGGTGTGGTTCACGTTTACTGAGCCTGTCTTTCGCTGGCCCTATTTGCTTGTATTACAATTGGTTGACATGATTTGGTGGTTGGAATGTATGGATTTGTGCACCAGAAAGTCTTGAATGTAAACATTCAAGTATATGTAAAAATGATTCAGTCGTTTGTTTATCCTGATTGTGTAATTTGTAAACTTGAAATTTCCTAAATATTCACCATGTCACTGAAGCATTGCCACAGCTATATTTAATTGTTTATTAACAGTTTAATGCTTGTTAAAACCATTTAATATATTTCTGAGTTCCATTTATTGAATAAACTTTTGCAAATATTTATTTCTCTATGATAGTTTGATTGTTCAAGTAGTCTGTTTGAAAGTTTTCTTCAGAATTATCAGCTTTTTTTATCTGTTAGTTACATTGTATTAGATCTGCCTAATTCTTCAGGATCATACTCTGCGATGGTTATCGCCGGAACATGATTTCGATGCCAGTTGAAACATCCTTTCGTTCAACTTTTTACCAGGTAGTTGCAGACTGCGTAGTGCATGTCACCCAATTTTAGTTTTAGATATCCTAAACCTTACGATGTTTTTTAGATACTTCTGAACCACTGTCATCATCTTTCCGTTATAGGGTAACGAGGTCGGCTACTTTTACAGCATGTATTATATATATTTACGATGCTCATTTTTGTTTTGTTGATAAAATTATGTCTTTTTTCTTGTTTTATGCTGATGATAGAATTTAATGATGTTGTGATGCGTTATGTTTCTTGAAGTGCGGTAATTATGCTACCACGAATATTTTTCAAATCAATTTGAAACGGGATACAATGAAATTCAAATTCTCGGCAGTAAGGCAAAATTTGTAATTTCCAATTGTTATGCTAGTGTTAAAGACCAATAGTTTAGCAGTTTTAAAATCTTATAGTATTGCGTGGCACCCTTCATCATAGTTTTTGTTGGATTCTTAGGAATGCAGGGAAGTAGTTTACGGAGAGTAGTTTTCAAAGTAGTCATTTTTTGTCGCTTGATCGTTCGGCATTTTAATCGAATCATTTATGAGTTATTTTTTTAAATTCATTTTACGGCCATGAAATTTGTTGAAGTAATAGTAGATCACTAATGAAGTTTTCGTCTCTTGATTGTTGGGGTTTTTTGTCTTTTTTCCTTAATAAAGTATTGATCCAAAATTATTGGGCAAATGGGCAATTTATGGTAAGATATAGCGTGATTCCTCATCTTTGTAGTTTTTGTATTAGGCATGTATATCTGTCCATTTGGATACCAATGTTGAGAGGTAACGACAAAGTAAAACTGAGCCGTTCGGACCTTATCAAGAAAATTGAAGAACAACAGCTTCAAATCATTGATTATGAAAATAAACTGAAAGGTTTGGCATATTTTTAATAGAACTGATTGAGCTTCAGAAATTATGGTCCCTAGGAACTGACGTCGGAAGTCTAGAGAATATATGTATTTCGAGCATTTGTAACCTATGTTGTCTTCAATTTTTAGTTGAATTTACTTAAGGATTTCCTAGTGTTTGCTACCTTCAATTTTTGCCTACTGTCAGTAAATCTGATGTTCTTCAGATCTAATTCGTGCTTACAAGGGACTCAGCGCTGAAAGAGATGCTTTGCAGACAGCATTTAAAGCTTTGTGCGTACAACAAGGTGTGCTTAAATTCCGAAATAAATTTTTTTTGAATGGCATTATTTGAATTAGTATTCGTTTTTCTTGCAGAAACTGCAACTTCACTTGAGAAACCAAAAGACAACTTTCAAAATGATCAATCTTGTCTTGAAGCCATTGCGGAAAAAAAAGAGCTTTCCGAGGTTAAATCACTGTTATTATTTATTTACGGCATTTTAATCGAGCTTCGAATTTGTTTGGATGAAGTAACGGGAGCTACTGAAATTTTTGTTTACACTCTTTAATTATCAGGAAATACGTCTTATAATAATAACTGTTTTTTCAGGAAGACCAAATCGAGAGCCTAAAAAGGTCTTTAGAAGTATTAATAATTGAAAAAAGTAAACTAGAGGCAGCCTTTCGATCTGACAGAAAAGCTTTATTGGTAAGTAGAAGCATAACTTTTCAATTCCGATTTGATTTAGATCAACCATTCTAAAAATTTTATAGAATGAATTTTACAGCAGAAGTAATGCGGTCATGAAGTGCGATCGTCATTCTGCTTTGTTTTGACTGTATTTGATTAATTCCAGTTGAAGATTTGGCCGTATTTCGAATATTCACTAAAGTCCATACCAAAGTGGTTGGAATATCTCCAGTTTATTTCTTAGATTTGCAGATCGAAAATGAAGCTTTGAAAAAAAGATTGACAAAAACTGCTAACGAGACTGAAGCGCAAGCTGAAAAGTTGGAAAATAAGTTGTTGGTAAATCATTTTTTTGATGAATTTATTTGAGTTCTTTGTCATTGTTTTTGTAGCAGTTATTATTGGTTGTACTGAAAATTTGTTTGTTTTATCTATTATATTTTTATCTATTATTTTTATCTATGTATCTCTTGCAAGCATATTTCGATTGTTTAATTGTAGGAATTGCGGTCAAAAATAAAGTTGATAGAAGGAGATCGTGAAAAAGAATTGTCAGACCATGGTTCCGTCCTGGCTGCTATCCAACAACAATATGCAAAGGAATGTGTCAATTCGGGACAGCTTGAAAAGCAGGTATAAAAGATCAGTGGTTTTTCACCGCACCTTGGCACGAGATCATATAATTATTGGGTAGATCTTTCCAATATTTCATATTTATTGTTGGTTATGTCTAAAAAATGAAATCAATTGTTTAAAATTTTAATCACCGTGATTCTAATTGTAGATCACAGAATTGCATCAAAAGTTGCGCGAGAAAGACAAAATATCTAAAACACTCGAAACGGACATTGTTTCTTTGAAAGAAGAACTTAGCCGAGCGCAAAGTGAAGTAAAATTTTGGCAGAAAAGAGCTGAGAAAACACCGGCTATACAAATAATGGAAAGTGAACTTCGGGATGTAAAGGTGAAAATTCATTTTGGTTTAAGAATCGCGAATATGTCTGATAATCTTTCCTTCGATTTTTTGATGTTTTTTTGAAAGCTTAAGCGAAATTTATATCAGGAAAGCAGTAAAAATGAAATTACCGAACTAAAAAGGAAGCTAATGGAGACTATGAATACAGAAAGAGAAAATCGTCTATGTGAACTAGAACAAAGGTTGTAATTTCGAAAATTTCATTGGTATTTATTACAATAACCTTTAATTTATGTGCAAATTCTAATATAGACTCCAGGAATTGTCAGTTGAAACTGGCGATTTTAATATGATTCGCGCAGAATTGCAACATAAAGTGGATCAGCTGGAGAAAAAAAACAAGGCTTTAGAAGATGAGAATGCATTTCTTGAGGTATGTTTGCTTCTCAACATAATTTTAATGAACCTTGATTTCATTTCAGAAACAGTTTCGAAAAAATTTTGAAGTATTTTCATAGAAGACTGGAACTTCTGCGATGCGAAATAGACTGAGTGCATAACTTGTTCCTAATTAATGAAAGTGTTTAATATAGCTAATGTATATGAGATGAAATCATGCCTCTGATTCCTGAGCTTTATTTGGATTATTATTCTTTAACTACTTATTGACAAGTTTGCACAATGAAGTGGTTTCATAAAACGGGCGGCGCTGCCACCGCAATTTATGAAATTTATTTTCTCGACATTTTTTATTTCTGCGATAATAGTGATTAATGTAGTCATACTCATAATTATGCGTTTAGGCTTCAAAATCAGCGAAAGAGGTTGATGATGAATCTACTAATTTTGAATCACTGAAACAAAATTTCATGGATAGCGCTCAGAAATTGCGCAATAGTAAACGGACAATCAATTTCTATAGTACGTCAAGTTTTTTATTTTTTTGATTTTATTCTGTATCGGAGTAAATAACTCTTAGAAAGCATTTTATTCTGTATCGGAGTAAATAACTCTCATAAAGTATATAGAAAGTAACGTAAAAAACCGGAACTATGCGAGGTAGAAATTGTCTGCTTGAAAGCAAAACACAAATTTTTTAAATAGCTTTTATTTTATTTATCTTTCATGAGCTTGAAGTTGGTGTTAATTGCAGATCTGTTAGGCCTAGATGAGACTTCGTATGAGCACAAACAGCGTTATGAAGTTTTGAAGGATGAGTTCGAAAAATACAAATTGAAGGCTGAAACAGTGCTAAAAAGCAGGTCTCTGAAGGTAAGGTCCATTATATTTCCATATTATTTATATTTATGTTTTGTTAGTTACTTATATAAATAAACAAGTTGCACTCACTTCTTAGAACTTAGATTAATTATCGCTGCCGCGGCGTAGCTTAATTAACAACGCAGGTTTACTTACCAGCATCTGCGGGATTCACAGCTTTGTCATTATGATGGTTTGTACTTTTGTAATAACGGTATAAAAGAAAAAGGCACCATGAAATTTAAAATTAAAAAAAATTAATGCAACAGTTGAGGAATCAATTAGAAATCTAGCTTTCAATGCTTTCGATCAAGTGGCAAGTACGGGAATAAAACATACAGCTTTATAACCTTCATCTTTCAGAATGATACTTTGGAAAATACAGGAATATCACATACGTTATCATTATTACCTGTAAGCGACTGCTCATCTTGTGCAGCGGCAGAAGCAGATCTGCGACATATGCATTCAGTTGTGGCCTCGCTTCATGATAAACTTCATTCTCTTGAAATAGACTACGCTAATGCAAAATCCAACTATGAAGAAGTGAGTTTTTGCAAGAATTGTTTAATTTAATCCCAGTTCCCAAATAATGTTTAATTTTGCTTTGGAAAAAAGGCTGTGTAGGGTTTCATATTCCAAGAAAGTATTTTCAAATGGTATTAATTTATTTCCGAACTAAGTTACATAAAACATGCTGCAGAAAACAACCCAACTGCAACTAAAAATTATGGAAGTGGAAATGACGCAAGAAAATTTGGTTTCTGATTTGCGCAATCAAATGCATCAAAAGGGTCAAACGTTTTGCAATTTATAAATTTCATTTCAAGCCATCCATCTCACACAATTGTTTTCTGGTAGTTATATGACAACATAAATTTGCTTTTTAGTTTGGAATATTTAAAAAGCTTTCTCTTTGCAATAATAATAAGAAGTCTTTTGCAATAAGCGATATCTTTTGCAATTTGCAATAAGAAGTCTCACTATTTTCTGACTTGTCATTTTTCATATTTCAATCTTTTCATTTACTAAGTCATCCAATTTCTTCTTTCCATCTTTTTCTGATTCTGTATTTTTGGGTTCTTTGGTTCATCAGTTTTGGGTTTTTTGATTCGTCAGTTTTGGGTTTTTCGGTTCATCAATTCTGTTTTCAGTGATCGAAATGGAATCTGAGATGCAAAAGCAACGTGTCCGGGCTCTAGATATGCTTGCGGAAAAAGAAAATGAGTTGGAAATTGCGAAGTATTTCTCTTTTTTTTTTGTAATAAGATTATTAAAGTTTTCCTTTCTGATTTAATATAATGGTTTAACTTTCAATATTTTTTTAGAATAACTGGAGTAACTAGAGACAGCGAATTACTGAAATTATCTAACTGCATAACAGAATTGCTGAAATTATCTAACTTCATTTGGAAAAAACAGAATCCATTTTTAAATGATTTTAGTTTTCAATACATTTTGCATATTTCGGTAATTAATTGTGAATTATTACAATTAATTTAACAATTATGACATTAATTTCTTTTCTGTCGAAGTTAAATGCAAAATTTTTCTATTCGGAAACCTTGCTCGGTTAAATGGAGTTAATATTTATTCATTAATTTAAGAGCTGTATTAGCATCGATAAGAAGCCAACCAAATGTTGACCCAATAGATCCTCCGCAGGGTACTTCATTCCGATTCGTGAACTATCGAGAAAGTCGTGCAAATGACTTGTTTGAAAGTAATGCGTCTATTGATGAAAGACGAAATGCTGGTATCAAGTTTGCTTTCAGTGTCTTTTTTTAACACAATAATCGGAATTTGCTTATTATAAACTTTACTTTCTCTTCGAGAATCCTTCAACCTTGCTTCATGAAAGCTTCCGTCTGGAATATTTCCATTTGGAATAATGGCAAGAAACTTCTTCTATTAACATTTTTCATGATTTTTTTTTGATAAAATTTGCAAATGATAGTGATTGAAGATTTCATCATTATTTGCAGAAATTCGGAATGTAATTGATCATTTAAGTGATGTCGATTCATGCTCCAGTATCATGGATGAGCATCATTTAGGTAAATCGAAACTATACCATAAACACAATTGTCAATAATGAATTATTCATTTCATGACCGTTTCTCAATTTTTTCTTTGCACAGTTGTCTCCAAGAGTAATGTGACCAAGCATGCAAGTCATTTGCTTTGCATTTTTCCACTTTTTAGGACATAGGTTTTCTTATTTTTTGTAAATTAAACATAGTATGGATTTTATTATTGCGATTGAATATCTTATAAGTCTTTTTACTACTTCCATTATCCATTTTCTTTCACATTAATTAAAAGCAGACAGCTATTCTTTTTTTAAACGAATTATTTCTTAGTACCAAAAGGCTATTTGGTATCTTTATTTGATACCATCATTTTTGTATTAGTTTTTTAAAATTTTTTACAATTTTTTTGTTTTTTTTTTCTTTTACTTTTTATTTAAAAATTCTTGATCTCTTACTAATAATGATTTCCTATCCTCTATATTTTTAAGCAATACGTTATACTTTTAGAACATTTATCAACTTCAAATAGTACTCAAGTTCTATTCCCTATCCCTGGAACTACAGCCGCCACAGAAACTCGCAATGTATTTTACGAACAGCAGCTTGTCAGGAGGGAAAAACAAATATTGGAATTAAGGTTCTTATTTCATTTCCGATTAACGGATTGTCAAATCCCTTGTGATGAATGCTTTGCTTAATATTTCTTTTGAAGCAACTAAATTTAACTTTAGCTTGTTATTTTTTCAAAATAATTTTCGTAATTCGGAAGTCTTCATTTTTTCATTTATACTGTACTTTCTTAGTGTGCGAATACGAATAGGTAAAACATGATGAAATAAGCCTGAACTTTAGAAATGCTATGCGTGTATCAGAATTAAATGTTCGCGATATTCAACAAGCAGCTCTCACTAAAGATTTGCAACATTTTGAAATGGTGGAGAAATTGAAGGATGAGATCAGGATCCTGGAAGGTTGGTAATTTCTAATAAAGTTCCATATTTCTTACTTCCAGCTATACTTCCATACTCTTGCTGTAAATTAACTTTTATATCAGCTGCATAATGATTTTTTTGCTATTTTTTCTGCGATAAATGAAATCAAGCATTGAAAATTGCTATGATATGTTCTACAACTTACATGTCACGTCTCATTCCAGGAAAACTGAAATTTTTAAGTTTCGATTCAAATATGGAGTATTTACGAAACATTTTCGTTCAGTTGCTACATTGTGATAGTTCTTCTGGTCGTAAACATATCCTGAAAGCCATAGGTGCTGTGTTGAAATTAAGTGTGGCTGAAATGCGAGCTATTGAGAAACGTAGTCTGTAGTAGTGTCATTCCGGAATTGAAAAGAATGCAATCGGTGCATAATGTATTTTAGAAATATGAACGAAGAGGAGAATATAACTACCATTCTTGTCGATCTTGGTTACTTCATTTCACTTTAAATATTCTTTTATTTTCGAGTTTGTTGCTGCCAACATCCATTAGGTTGCTGCTGTTCCAAATATTTTCGTACTTGATATTCAGTTTTAATTCCAAATAGTTTTAGTAGAAAAAAATCTTCTAGATTTATTGGCTTTATAGTGATTTAAAAAGGTGACATATTTTATAATTCCTAAGTTTCCGAATTTCTGATTTTGTTGTGTCTGTGTTCTATGTTTTGAATCTGTTTCATGCTGATTTCATTCTTCATTGATCCATATTAGAATTGATATTTTTGGGATATAATTTTTTTACTGTATAAAAATCATTTTTCTGCATATCATATGTATTGGAAATTCTTGCGTTATGAACAATTTTTTAACATATCACCGTCATTTTACATATTACTCTCATTTTACTTCATTACTTGGTGATAAAAGAAATGTTAAAGAGTCAAATTTTTCAGAGATCCAAATAATGAAATAATGCAACTGGGTAAAAACAGTGTGGTCTTTTGATTGGCAGAATCTTGTAAAGGAATATTTTCATTAATATTAATTAGAACTGCATGAGAGATACCATATGCAGTGCTGACATTTCATTTATGGATTTAACAACTGTAAGCATCACATTTACAATTAAAATGTAACCCATACAACTGCATTCTTTAGTTCAATTTCTTTTATTATGATCTTACTGTTGAAATTATCTTTCGTAGATGACTGCAAGAAAGCCAATATGTTGTTTTTCTTCTCGTTGATAAATTTGAGACAATCAAAGAGCGGACCTCTTGTAATGTTGTTGTTTTTTTCCTGAAATGAATTTCAATTAACGGACAAAGCAGAATTTATGGCAGGTTTTATTAATTATTAAATTACAAGATATCCCACAGAGCAGAACCTTAAAACAGCTGACCACCTTCTTGTAATGTAAGATTGATTTTTTAATAGGTAGTACTATTAATGGGGTTTCAAAGTAGTACAATTCATAAAGAAACTATCAAGCTTGCTTACATTGGAGATGCTATCATAATTAAAATAACTGGAAATGTTAATATTAAACCGTTTTCAAAAGTCGGTTCTTTTATGGGAATTTAATTTTTTCTTCGAACTTCCTTTTTTTAATATTGGTTCCAATTCTGGATGTGATCTAATTAGAATTATAATAAATCAATACTTTGTCCTAGCAGCAACTCTTCTCGAATTTCTCGAACTTATATTTATATTTGTTAAATTTTTGCTGTTGAACGAAGCACAAAAGTAAATGGTTAGTGAAAGTAACAAAGATATAAGCAATGCGACAACTGTTGAAATCAGGAGAAGCAAATATTTACGACTTGCGAAGTTCAGGCCCTTGATTAGAAGTATGAATATTTTTGTAAGCACTTTGTTGCAAAGTTTCTTTCAAAAGTAAAATAAAATTGAAACTAAATAAAAATATAACTCTTTCGATAGGAATCAATTCTTCATCATGTTGATTTCACTATTTGTCATTTTTAGGTTAAACCTAAATGTATTTCATTTTAAACCATTCAACGTGATATAATTTGTTCAAATCGCATTTTAAAAATTTTTCAAAGATAATGTTTATTTGCAAAAGCTGAAATTTATGTGTAACATGAGAAGACCATGCTATTCTGTCATCTTTATCAAATTTCTATAGCATTTACAGGTATGATTACTCATTATAATATCAATAGGCCCTTTTCTGTAATTCATTGGTTTATGTGGTTCGATAGATTATTGTTTAGGAAAAAGAAATTATAGTATTAAATAAATTGAAGAAGTGTATTTGTTGATTTTGCATGTCAAATTTAATGACTGTTTATTATAGCCATAAGTAATTATCGTATATTTAAAATGGTCTTATCATTTTTATTAAGAAAATATCGTTTAATTCTCACTTGACCAAGCCTTATTCATTTCAATTTCTGATATTTACTTTCATTGCATATACTCATCGCCTTTAGATAGTTACTTGATTTCATTATCATTCTTCTTTTTGACTCTTTTAGATTGACGCCGTGTATTAAAAGCCATATAAATATCCTTATCCATTCCATGAAATCTCTTCTTGAACGACAGTGAAAAGCTTAGTTAATATCATTTATCACAAAATCTTAGCAACTGTCATATTAGTAGTAGATTGGTCAATGTTATCACAGACTTAATGTATTCGTTTATTTCATTTTTCGTAAATGATTGAAGCGTAGTATTCAGCTTAGCGCTGTCTTCGCTGTAGACAAAAAGAATTCAATGATGGCATCCTATTATTGTTCGCATGCTGAAAATTAATTACAAGCGAAGATATCAATGGTCAACAATCATTTTGCTGATCAAGTTTTTTTGTAAAAGAGTTGATAATAATCCTCAAAATTAGCTCATGGATATGTGTAAAAAGATAGATAATGATTCTAGTTTTTAAAGATTTATTTGCTATTCAAGATGAATCCATGTGCCTGATCTACCTGACAACTTGGGGCAGGTTTAATTTGCTTCTCAATTATCAGAATATTATGAGAATATCTGAAGAGAGCCGGTTAATCTGCATATTGCACTTTTCGCAAAAGCAGCTTTATCTGCTCCTAAATTCTTGCAGCCCTTTCATCAGTATCTATCCGTTTCCGAAATTGTTTGGAGAAAAGCAAGACGAGACATCCTGAAAGACATCGCACTATTCCGGAAATTCTTTGGAGAGAAATAAGACGAAACGGGATTAAATGACACTGGAAACTGATTCCATTTATGACATAACTTGAACGCCCCCACAACCTACTCTATCGCTATGTACACACTCTGATTCCAAAATTCTACGTATTCATCCCGAACTGGAATGATCAATGTGCCAGTTTGATCATCATCTCGTTTAAGGCCTCTTCTACTTTTCCTATTTTGTTAACTGCTTCATGCGACCATAAAGAACTACAAAACTCCGACCCTGGCAGGACTCGAACCTGCAATCTTCGCTTCCGGAGGGCGACGCCTTATCCATTAGGCCACAGGGCCTATTTTTGTCCGGGCCACAATTTACAGTAGAAATATTTCTTACCTTTTCTCCCCTTTTTCTTATTTTCTCTGTCTAATTAATATCACCAATATTCATAAATGAGATGAGAAAGAATGAAAGGTATGCTATTATTGATTAGTTTCGTCTATCTGTCAAATCAAAAGAGAAATATGTCAAAATGATTGAAATCAAAATAAATCATTCGCATTTGAAAGGACGATAAAAGAGCACTAAATAATCTAAAGAAAATTTGAAAAAATATTGAACAATTATAAATTATTGAAAAATTCAGGAAATTATATGCATATTATTTAGAAGACTGAAGTTGAAAATTGAATAATTATGAATTAAAAATTGAATAATTATTATCAAAATTTGCAATCTCATCAATGATTTTGGAAATGGTCAGTTTGCATATATAAGCGTAACTAATACTGTAATCTATTACTATTAACTATTGAGGTGGAAATTTTATTCAAATGTGATCTAAAATCGAGGCAATAAAATTAGAATTTATAATTATTAAATCGGTTAAATAGCTTTTGATCAGAAATCGAATATAATTTAGCAATTGATCAGTTAAATATGGTTGGCATTAATCTACTCTTATAACTGCACCGCCATTTTAAGCCGCCATCTTTTGTGAGCAGAAAATTTGCCCTAATCGACAATTTTCGTGTATATACATGAAAGGTTTCATCATAATGGTAATATATCATGTAGCGTACAGCAGCATTGAAAGACTATCTTCCGTGTTCGACAATTTATGAATTATATTATTTCCTTTTTTTTCTTGAATTCTATAGTATAGGTAAATAGTATAGGTAATTATCGTTTGTTTACATTATTATCATTATTACAATTATAGAAAATATTTTTTTTTTGGTGAATAATTGATGAATATTATTGACTAAGTTATTAAGTGATGATTTAATGAGTTAATTTAGTGAAAATGAATTAATAATTATTATCACTTTTTTGGATAGTAAGAAAATAAATTCTATTAATGTAATTAATTAGCAATAAAAATGAAATAATAATTTTTTGCGAATTCTTTTTACAAAAGAAAAGAAAGAAAGAGAACTTAAGTTAACAACAATGTCATTATGAATTATTTACATTTTTCTTTCTTATTTATTTAAGAATTATTTCACTAATTCTTACTTAAAATAAAAATAGGCGATGATTGATTACATGAATTCAACCATTCATTTTCTACCTTTGAGTTTTCAATTCTAATTAATTAGTGTTATTTGATGTAGTGAGTGAAAAAGATAATTAGCCCCTGCAATGAATGAAGAGCTGGAAGTTTTTGATCGTTACGACTTAATGCTACGCATAAGGATCGCTGATGCGGTAATGATTCTAGCTTGATTTCATGCTTCTTTTGTTACCGATGAAATCGTTATGAAAAAAGCTTTGTTTTTTTTTTTACTTAAAATCAACCATTAGTTAAATAGTGTGAAATAGCAAGCGGCAGCAAACAGTTTGAAGACTAATAAATGAACTATGATGAACTATAATGACTAATGAACTATAACAGACTAATAAAATTTATGTTCTCTAATTTTAAGTTTGTTCTAAGACACAAAAAAAGTGAACAGATAAAATATAAATTATTAATTGGATAATTGAAGAATTAAGGTTTCATTATAATTAAACAGAATTATAAGTAACTGTCGCAAAATTCTAATTTGGCAATCTATGTGGTACCAATAATTTAGAGTTATTGTGTAATTACCATTAAATCACGAATCAAAAAAAAATTGATTTACTGGTTGTTAACATTTTAAACTTTTAAGGGTTGAATAACAGCATATCATCTATCAATGATAATTCATTGTGATATAAGTTATGAAAGTGTATAATTATTTCATTGCTTTCACAGATATCACTATTTGATGATGTACGGGAGAATTTTCGACTACTAATTGGAAATTATGGTGAACAATTGACCACACTGGAAAGGAATGTGTTTGCAGTCTTCTATAAAGTTTGTACAGTTTCATTGATAAGTTTTTAAATGCAACTATAAAATTATAATACATTGTTTTTTTTTTTTGTTCGTTTATTCTGAAGATTATACACAATAGGTAGTCTTCAAAATTGAATTTTAAGTAATGATTCTATGATAGGAAATTTTATCATTTTCATTATCGCAATTTCACTGTATATTGATCTATATGGATTTTTTCAAATTTGTTGCTATCAGAATGAAAGCAATTAGAAGCTTTTCTTTACTAAAATTCAAATTTATTCATTAATTTTAATCCTTGTTGGATAAATTTTAATTTATCAAAGTTATTAAGCAAAGAAACAGTTATATTTAGGGTTTGGTGGATAAATTTCGCAAAGAATATAAATTATACATTGATCTACAAGAACAAATACCACGACAAGAAATTCTTAAGCAACGTATTTTACGTGACAACATGTATCGAGCACGATATGAAGTGGTTACCATTTGTAAGGAAGTGATTGTAAGTTGTGATTTTTGCAATGGTGATATCTTTCGAGGATGTAAAAGAAAAAATGTAAACATAATCCAAATGTCAATATGACAAAGATGATATTTTGATAATTCTTTTTTCGGGATTTCCCAAGGATAGATAAGGTTTTTAAAGATTTTTAAAGCTGTGAGTATAATTGTTTCTTTCGGTAAGTAACTTTGAGCTCCATAAATCATTGTTTGTTTTAATTGCTGCTATCATTTCTAGCTGCTCTGAGAATTTGTTTGATAACAAGCAAACTTGTCATCTTGTTCAAGAATCAATGCGTAAACTGCAAAAAATTGAGTGCTAAATTTATTTGTAAAATATTCAGCCTGCGCAATAATTTATGAAATAATTAGTTCGAATAAAATTTTATCAAACACATATTTGTTTTAATCAAAAGTGAGTCAAAAAGAAATTGCTTTTAAAATCAGATAATTGTTTCTGGCATTGTTTAAGGTAATAGCAAATTGAATTTAATGACGAAAATTGATGTAAATGATTTGTGAAATTCAACTGTTTGCTTATAGGAAATGATTGATAATGGTATATTGGGTACGAAAAATGTTGAACTGAGAATTTACTTTTTGAAACTTCGTGCTGATTATTATCGATACTGGTCAACTACTGTAAGTAACGATCAATTTTATGGTAAATCTTTTATTAAATTTCAATTTCTCATTATATATTTGATGGATGAAATGTAATTGGTGTCTACATGAGATGCTTATTTAATGCAATATATCAGAAGACTGCATAACGAATAAATGAACCTTGAACTTTTTGGATGCTGAGAAAGGCTGAACTACAACGATTTGTTGTTAACAATATCTGTAAATCTTAGATTACTCGTTAGCGAAGATATAGCATGAACTATAAGTTATGCTTAAGCATTTTCATATCTTGAAATATTTGTCATTATGGGAACATTTTAATTTTATCACATTTCTATATTTTATTTCTTATTAAAAATAAGACTTGGTTTTAGGCTTTCATATTCTTGCCGAGGAAAGCTATGAATTGGCGCTTGAATTAGCAACGAAAAAGCTCAAAAGATATGATCCTTTACGTTTAGGTGTGATGCTCAATATGTCTATACATTATTATCGGATGCCTTATGATCGTATTAAAGCCTTACAGTTATCAATGCAAGTATGCTTTTATTTTAATTTATTTAAAAAGGAAAGTAAAACAATGATTAGTGATAATGTAATTCAAAAGCTTGAGAAATTATAATTATTGAAAATTGCGTCATATAAAAATTCTTTAATAGAATCGTTTATTTTAGGCAGTGACTGAAGGCAAGGATCATGTTAATCAAGATCCGGATATTCGTGCAGTGGTGAATTTATTGCAAGATAATTTAGATCTTTGGAAGTCGGTTCTTGGTCCTCGGGAAGTGCGTGAATTAGAGATGCTGGAAGGAGCAAGAAAGTGGCATGGTGATTACCGCAAAATGTACTTCAAATTCATTCCTTCTCTCTCTTCTCAATTTTGCAATTCTCTCTTGTCGTTCTCCTTTTTATCAATTTTCAAACGAATCTTTATCTTCTACTACTATTCTTATACTTTATCTTCTACTATCTTCTACACTGTTCTCAAAAATTAAAATCCTTAAAGATAGCAACTCATATATCAGCATTTCTCCACATGTTACATCAATTCTTATCTGAGCAACTGATAGCAACTTTAACAGTTCAAAAAGAGAAAAGTTAACTAGACTAACGTTTTTTTGTCTATCAATTGATTCATAAATTTTGCAGGTAAGAAAGCAGCGGTGCCGTCCTCACATTTACTGCGTTATCTATCAGGTGAACCAACCCCGAAATTTGAACCTCCAATAATACCATACAAACCATATTTCACTATGCCTCAATCACTCAAACATTATTGTTATCATCCTGATGCTCCGAAATATGATGCTGCTGTTATATATGAACAAATTTTCAAACCTAAAACGTTTTCTTCGGCTAAATCCGAAAGCGCTACTGCTGAATCAGACATTAGCACAGCTAAATTAGAAATCACTCAAACGGAGTCACTAATTACTGCGTCTATAACAACCGCTTCATCTACTGTTTTGTCAGGAACACGATTACAGATGACTACAGTCGAACAAGATCCAAACCCCACAAACGCACCCGAACGTAGACTCCCTACAATTTCATTCTACCGTGAACCACAAGAAGAGCATACATCGCACGAAGAGCACGTCTCAGAACAAGACCCTTTTGAAGGAATATTCCAACCGCTCCTTCTGAGTTCCTGGTCCTCATCCACACCATCCTCGTCCACTACATTATCACAACAGCCAGATGAAGATAACGATGATAATGGCAACGTCGAACAGAGAGAATATCGTTCATCGATATTACAGATTACTGAACCACGTGATATTCCACGTGCAAATGAGCCTATATCAACAACAGTAGAACCTATCAGTGAAGTGACAAGACGACTTCATAGTTTCGAATCCAGAATGTTCGCCATACGGAACAGACTTGCCATTGGACTGGAACAGCCAGAAGCAGAACAAGAATCAGAAGATGAAGATGACCAGCCAGATGAAAGGAACGATTCAGCTGCTAATGAGGAATCTCTCAACATTATGGCTTCAATCTCACCATCTGGCATCTCAGAAAACATCATAGCAAGAGAAGTTTCAGCTCCTTCATACACTCAAAAACCAAGTGAAATTGGTGCTGTTGGAAAATTACAACAGCAGCCTCAGAATATATCCGTTGGTCATATTGGTGACAATCGCAGTGCTGGATTGCAACAGCACTACACAGCTCCCTCTACTGCTTCTTATCATCAAATTAATCTCTCCGTTCAACAGCAAGATCAAAGCAGTTCGAAGAGTGAGCAAATAAAACCTTCTAGGACATTTGGACGTCTTGTATTTTCAGAACCTAAACCACCAACACCACCACTAACTTCTAGAACATATGAACGCCTTGTATTTCCAAAACCTAAATCACCAACATCACCACCACTAGTTGTTTTCACACCGTACGGTCCAAAGATTGTCAACTATACCCCAATTCCAGGGCTTGAAGGAGCTGCTGCAGCAGTGTCACCTTCTTCATCAGTTAAAAAAAAAAGAGTAACTTTCAGTAATGAATACACCTATTGGCCCCCTAAATCAACAACAAGGGTAGAAACTTGCACACAATTTCCGAGGCAAAGATCAAGACAGAGATCAAATCGTCCACCTCCACCTCCTTTAAGGTTGACACCACCTGAACAGTCACCTGAAAGAGAACAACAGGTGCCTTGTTCGTCACGAAATCGCAGTAGTCAACAAATCGCCGCAACATCGCAATATGATATAACTCATCAAATCCTTTTTAATCCGCAACAATTTTGTGGGCAAAAGCAGGCATTAAAACGTCGTCGACGAAAGTTAGCACAACGAAAATTACTTCGGCGCTCTTTTTCAGCTCCTCGTGAAGGTGCTACATGGCCAAAATCTTCATTAGTACGAGAACCTCCATATTTCATTTACAACGTTTTACGTCAAGCTTCTGCACCAAGTGGAGAAGCCTTCGGTAGACGGTTTCTTTCAGCACATTCAAGTGCTGAGGATCTGTATGATGAAGCTGCTGAAAAAGCCTTTCCTGATCCATGGGCTCCAAGAGGAGAAAGAACGATGCAAAATAGCTTTCCTATTATACCGTGGTATCCAAAAGAGAAACCTCGTGTTCCATGGATTCGATTTCACTGGCCTCATAGAAGAAGAATCAATGAATGAAATCTTTCAAGATTAAGAGAACTAAATAACCTTTTATCTCCTGGAAAATTGAGTTTTACTGGTTCAACAATTTGTGCCGACTATCTGTCGTATTAATCTTTTATCAATAATTGATTTCAATTCAAGTAATTTCGAGCAAATAACAACAACGTAACGAAACAACACTGATCCATTTTGAATCAAAGGTACCATGATACTTCTGGAATTCACTTATAAATTTATCAAAATTTAGCTAATGAATAAAGATGGCACGAATTACTTAACCATAGAAGATATAGAAGCTATTCAATATTAAATGTTTTAATCATATTAAAAATGGAAGAATTAAAAAGAAATATTTCATAATTTTGATTTAAAAAGAAAAAGAAAACGGGTAAAAGGAAGCGTTTCCTGATTATCAATTTTAACCGACATTAAAGATTCTCACGTTACTCACGTGAAGAGCAATGCTATGACGCATCTCCGTCAACTATCGTATCGTCGTTTATGGTAACGAATTGATAGGATTGGTATTAAAAACTATGGTGTATAGGTACAAGTATGGGTTAAAGGTTAAAATATGAATATTTTATTACTATATAATGAATCATATGCGTTAAGAAGAGCATATAGCGAAAATGATTTAATTTCAGAAAAACGCAATAAAATTATAACATAGGACATTAGCTCTAGTTTATTATTTTTTGAATTAATTTCAGATCGGGTATGAATTATATGAAGTTGAATTAATTTAATTGCAATCATTTACAGAAGCCCAACATTTTCATTTACCTTCACGTTGTTACTTATTTTATTCATGAATTATCCTATTCGAGCTCAATGAGATTTTGCATTTATACATTTTAGCATATATATAATTACTTACTTAATGTCTATTTAGCCCATCTGACTTCCATGTTTGATAATGCTTTATCAATTTTATCATTCATCACTTGCAAATTTTATTAATTTTAATGATCATCTTATTGTATTCCTTCATTGAATGATATGATATGATTCATATGATCTTGCTATATTGAAATATTTAAAATAGGAAAATTGAAAGAAAGAATTTATTTGCTGCATAACCGATATAAACTTGCTATTTTTAGTAATTGAATGCAAGGTTGTTGCAGAATTAAGTCGTGTTGTCGTAATTTATTTCATACGTGTCTTTGAAAATTGTGAAAATTGATAAATTGTCTTCTTGAATTTTGCATTAAAATTTGTTTCTTTTTCTTATTTTGTTGAAATTGAAAAGGAAGTATAACTATAAAGCAATCACAATGACAATCAATGTCAATCAATGTGATTAAGCCTATCTAATGCAATTAAATATACCCTATATCAGTATCTGATAACAGATAAGCTATATGAAATTCGAACAACATATGCTTGAAATTTGCAATCATAGATATTTGCAGATTACTTACGCTTCAAATCACTGAAAATCACTATTCACTAATTTATTATATCTGATGAATTCCATGAATGAAGATGCTCTAGCATAAATGCTAAGCATCTTCATAAATTGAGCCAGATCAGTGTTTTCGATATGAAGTCTAACTAGTATATTAAATATTAAAAAATTGCTTAAGACTTTAATCAAGTGTTAAAAGTTTAAATCAAGTATTAAAATTGTAAACGATTTTTTATACTATATTTAATACTCGACTTGATTTACTGGATAAAGATAAACCCTTCAAAATTATCTTACCCGTAATATTTCTGCAGATCATATGGATTAATTTAAGGCGTTTGATTCCATAATTGCATTATTTTTTATCAAGTAATAGGATGCTGTTAAAATTAATCAATTTAAATTCGTTGAGACAGATTTACAGTATGCTCTAGGGAGATTTGGGAAGATCATTGATGATACACACTTCTCCTTTTTTTCAGAATTCAAATGAATTCAAAATTCAGAGAGACTCTAAGAAATCCATTTCATCCTTTAGCATCTAAAATAATTAATAATTATTCCTACAAAATAATTGAACTTTTCCTAATTTCTTCAAAATCTTTACAGTTTTTCCTCTTTATTGTAATGTTCATATCTTTAAATTATAATTTTATATTATTACGTACTAATCAATCATACTCCTTACCTTATCATATCTTTTTACACGAATTTTTGCCAACGAAAATTCTGAAAAATTGCTCCTACCAACTGATTAATAACGAAAGGGTTGAAAAAGCAGATATTGTAAAATCTAACAAAAATTTCGATTTCTCGATATTATCAATCAATAACAGTAAAGCGATCATATCTTTTCCAAAATTTCTTAGATGCTTTATATAAATGAAATTTAACTATATCATTATATTATAAATTAAAGATGTAAAATTTGCATATTTAATGGTTAGATTTATTTTCTTGATTAATCAGTAGATAAAAAAACTTGAAAATAATTTCAATTATTTTATTTATCAGTGTGTTAACAAGGAGGTTTATATTAGTTTCATTAAATTCGGATAATGGTTGATATAATGGCGTGCGTTTATTTTTAATTTCAAAAATTATTAATAAAATAAAATTGCAATTTATGTTAAAATTATTGAAACTGCAATTATCATATTTAAAGCTTATAATTAAGGAAAGGTATAAGTATTGAGGACATTTCGTACTTAAAAAAATGCTATTTATTTATCGAAGCAAGAAATTTAGTCAGTCAGAGATAATATTTGAAATCTGAAAATGCAAAGTGAAATAACCAATTCATGAAATGATATTGCAGAACACATTCCGAAGAGATCAATGATACCTTGTTGAAAAGTCATGACTTGTCGCCAATCACAGAGCAACCAAATTATGAAATTGTGTCAGTTAACGAAGAATGGTATATTTATTTCTTTAAATTCGAATTTCAGCTAATATTTTTCAAACAGATAAGCAGAAATGGAAAAAATTTGTTTGAATAAGGCATGTGACACTTTACCTATCGTAGTCACATACGCTTGAGGTCAAATTTTACATGCTTAAACTAATATAATTAATATCTTAATAGAAATATATAACAAGGAAAATTAAAATATTCGAAGAAATAACGAATTAGAATTATGAATACGTAATGAAATGTTGTTTAAATTATGAATGCGAATTATGGGTGGATAAATATTATGGCTAGGTGATAAAATGTTGTTATCATTGATAATAGTTGGCAAAATTTTAGCACTGTTAGATTTGCATGTGAATGGACTAACAATCGAATTGCACACATTCTACTCTTACTAATTAATGATACTCCAAGTTTGATTGAATGGAAATTGCATTGCACGACAGCAGCAATTATAGTAACGTTTTTTTGAGAATGAATAATAATAATAATAATTGAATTGATCGATCGATTGCTTTTTAATTTATTCTTTTTTGTTTTGTTTCAAAAATCAATGAAAAAAGTTTTCATTTCTTTTTGTTTACCTTTTTATTATTTGAAAAATTAGAAAATTACAAAAAATAAAAATTAGAAACTTTAGAAAAAGGTATAAAATTTGTTGTTTGATGGTTGAAGTTGAAAATTTTAAGGCATTTCCATCTGGCAATGGACAAATTTCTTCTTATTGCGAAGAGAAATGCATGTTATCGTGGATTTGTCCGAATTACATTGAAACATGGCAACAAATGGAACCCGCCGAATTACTCTTTTCTCTTAAACTTTTCGCAAATAATGATAATTTCATCGGATCAGCTCATATCAAACTTCTAGGTTTATCAACTTTAATTAGATAAATAGTTACTGAAATTTGCATAACATAGATTTATTTATAGCATAGATTATCATATTTTATCATCTTATGTTGCAATGGATAAAAAATGATAATTTTTTTGTTAGAAAAAAAAGTATGAATTGAAATTTAAAAATAATGAAAAATTTCTAAAAATTAATTAACATAAACTGTTTTACAGCACAGTTAGATAGAAATGAATTTTGCACAGCGGAAAATCCACCGATACACAATTTAATATTCGGTTCTAATGAAGCAACATTAAATCGCATAGAATCACAACTATCTCTACCAACAGCGCTTGAAGTCACTGAAATAATTTCACCGTTAATTTTTATCATCATTTCATATTTAACTCCATATATTTTACATATATCTGTGAATTAAAAAATTAACTTTGAAGACTGTTTTGATTTAAGAAAAATAAATCTAAAAATAGTTCAAATCCAAAAACTTACAAAACAGTGAAATTCAGCAATGGTAATAATAGTGAATTACAACTAATCGATAAACAAACTTCTCAATATTCGTAAGTTTCACATTTTTATAATTCAATGAAATTTTTCAGATTCTTATTCTAAGTATAAATTAAATGATATACTTGGGGGGACGGGGAGGAGATTTTGCATTAGCAATTGAAATAGCGTGATAAGCTTTAGCTGCAACAAAAACAAAAGAATAAATTGCATTGCAGTGTGATCAATTTTGCATTAAATCGTTTTCACGAAAATATTGCATGCGTTCAAATCAAATTTGTCAATAATAGCAAACGACAGATTGTTTGGAAATTAAAGACAAATAACAAATGTATTACGGTTAGCTGGAAATATTGTCAAGTTTTTAATATGCAAATTTTTGTTAAGATAATTCCAATCTGTTAAATATTTTATTTATAGGCCTTACCTAGCGGAAATGGCCTTGTGCCAGCGCTTAAAAATGTCAAGTGTATCCTTTCATGGCAACTTCCAAAACATTGTCAAAGTTGGGATAAAGTTAAATCTGCTAAATTGCTCATATCCATTCGAATCTATACAGAAACAGGGAAATTGCTTGCTGAAGATATTGCTAAATATATCGGTAAATGCAATTTTAGGGTGCTAATTTTTAGAATTAAAAAATTTATATTTCCTCTGAATAATTCGACGACTCTAAACGATGAAAAGAAGAAGGAGTCATTTGAGTTATACGCTTATTTAATGCTGACAACTTCTTTTCAGAGATCAGAATTTATTTGGTGTTAAGTTAAAAAATTTAATCAAAAAATTAAATGCCAGCAAATAAGTCAACAAAAATTTGAACGCAAATAAGCTAAAATTAAGTGCAAATAAATCAATCCTTACAGCTTTTTTTCAAACAAAAGTATTGAAATTTGAAAGTGATATCTTTACATCTAATAATCTCTAAGAATGAATTTAGTGAAACCAAATGTGAGCCATATCTGTACATTGGATAATATCCCGACTCATCAGATTGTCCTCATATCGTCGAACGTATCTCGTTCATGTGACGTGAAGTCAAAGGTTCGAACGTTAACATCGACAGAGAAGTGAGCAATTCAATTGTTTTTATTAATATTTGGTTAACTTGACTGCTAATAAATGTTGATAGGAATCACAAGTAACTAAAGACCTCTAATCATTGCAGTTTTTGTCAAACAAAATGATTAAGTTTAATTTTCAAACTTCAATGTCAATTCTCAGAATACGAAGTGCATTTTAAAGTATTCCATATCATTTCAATTATTTGCCATTTGTCACATACCAAAAAAGATTGAAATATTTTATCGATTAAATGCAACAATTTCTTATCAATAATAGGTATCGGGATGATATTTAGATTGAAGTCGAAAAAAATATGTATTATATTCAATTATTAGAAAAGTGTGAAAAACATTTTCTCTAATCCAATTTTTTATTTAACTTAAATTTTAATTTAAAGTTACGCTTGCAAGATATAATTGAAGTAATACTTAAGGATAACTCATTCACGGACAACTTCTACTACCGTAACGAAAATCAAAAATGGCAATTCAACGTCTAAAGCAATATGTGCTAATAATGAAATCATTTGGCAGAGTGGTGTAATTTGTTATGTAACAGTAATGTTATTTCTGACCCTGAAGATACTATACGGAAATCACTTTTTATTCTGAACATATCACAAAATTGAAATAACCATTCGCCAAAATCTTTCATGATTTGTTGCTTAATGATTGTATTAATCATTCATTATGAAATTGAAACAAATCTCAATTCTCTCTCACTCAATTCCATTATTATCTTTGTTGTGATCGATTCTAATCTCCTTTTGTATAATTTTAATATCAGCAAAATTTGTAGATAATATTGCTTAATATTGTAGATATTATAGATAGATATATGATCACTTCACATTTACCAATATCCTTAACTAATCATCAAATTATTAGCTTTATTTGAATTAATTCAGCATTGATATAGTAGTATAGGATTTCAATCTCTACCTGAATTGCCTTGCCAGTGCTTACCTGTTCTTTTTGCTGTCATCAATGGCATAATTGATATTTCTTTAGAGGTATTAAATATTGCATGAAAATTCAGTGATACTTTGATCTCAAACTGTAATTCAATCTGTGAATAGTAATATTAAATGACTAATTCGAAGAAAAATGCTACTATTCTGCTTGGTACCATATGCAACTTTTTCTTGAAATACATTTATTACTTTTCAAATATAAAGATTTCACTGAGGTTTCACTGAATGAGTAATTAATTAATGACTAATTATTATGAGAAAAATGCTTATTATCATGAATGCATCCATCCATTCACAACGAATATGACTGTAATGATTGGTGCATCGGAAGTGCTCAGCAAAACATGGAAGTATTTACTTAGTCATCAACGGACGATATTTACGTTGCAGTATTTCTAACATTGCTAGCCAAATAGATCTAATTATTTCATTATAATCTTATAAGATCTTCCAAGTATAATGGTAAGCTTAAAACGTCAAAGAAGGGTGGAAGGTATGATAGTAGTGGCCGGAAATTTACGTATGACTAATCAGATAAGCCGGTGATTTTTGTCACAGATGAGAAGTTCGGAAAGTTGTTTGGACAAAAAGTTAATTTTATGATATTCGCTGTATGTATCATTTCTGCTGAAATTAGCAAAATTCGTAATTGCAATACCTTGAGCAAACAGAAATAAAAGGCGTAAAATTTCCATTAAATCATTATTGATCATCGGAAACTTCTAATACCAATAGTCCGAGAAAAGTTTGAGAAGAGAGAAGCGCAAATTATGATAAGTGATAAGAAAAGGGCATGTCATTCTAAAAGTTGGCAAAAAAGGAAGCAAAATGAATGGAAATTAAGTTGTTACTTTACTTTATCTCTTTTTAACATATCACTCATAATACAATAAAGTGGTGCTAATGCATGCATGCAGTATTGTGAAAGTCATTGCGCTTTGTTTTTGAATTTTAAATTCTCCAGTTGCTTCAACTCAAAAAAGAGATAATAACATAAAAGGTAAGATTATTTAACAAGCATATTTTTACTTGAAATATGCAAACTTTTTCTTCTTATAAAGAACTGATTAATGCAAAAAGATTACGGTGACTCGAAATTCAAAGTTACTTTCACATTAAATTTAAGAAATTCCATATTATGCAGTTTTGATTTTGTCATTGTCGAATATTATATTTTACTTGCGATTAGTTATTATCTTTCAGTTATTCACTAAAAACCACCAAATAAGTAACAATTTTATACATATATACCCAGAATTTAAATGATGAAATGATATGTTCCATTGTAAATATTAGTGTTAAACAGAAGAATATAAAGGAAACGAATAATTTTAAAGCTGTCAAAACACAAATTCATATTTTATAGTTTTTCGCTGAAAAACAGCGAAGAAAACAAATAATGTACGAATCATTCTTGCAAATTAGATAATATTTGGCTTGGAATATTTCGATTGGATATTGAAATATATTCTCTTAATCTAATACTTTTAAAAAAGTTTTTCAATTGTATGTATTTCAGTTTATTAAGTAAATTTACCAAAATAAACGATTATGCTCATCACATATATTTAGTAAATATTAAATCATACAATTGTTGAACACAATAATGAGAATAAGGAAAAAAGAAAATAGTTAAGAATAGATGAAGGCACATCGTTAAACCCGTAAAAAGAAGAAAGATGATATGAATTGATTATTTTCATAACGATTACTCTCTATTATTATTATATCAGCCTTTCCTTAGGTGGTGATTTGAGCATTGAATTCATCTGAAACATGGAAAACTATCTGTATCATATGAAATACTTTTAATATTTTTATACATTTTATTTTTATCAATTTTTCATCATCATTTCCTGATATCTAATTTTATAAATTAATCTGTTTTATTTTAAGCCATTACTTTTCCAGCTTTCTATTTAAAAATGGAATTAAAAGTAGCAATAGAGATGAAAACAAAAACAAATTTAAATCTAACCGGCATTCGTGAAATACTACTTTCATGATGTGATGGACTATAGGTACCCTGAGTTGCACGTCGTCCACGAATCATTACTACTGCCAATAATACGAAACCAATGATAAGTAATGCAATTACAAGGGCCAATATTGGCCCAACTATGTATCCTAATGAGACAGATCTAAAATTTTATGGGTCGAATTAATAAAAGAGAAAGTCTAAGTTATAGCTATCATGCTATTTTCATAGTCTTCGTTATTCACCAAATTCGAAGTAATCCTTCAGAGCAATTAAATGAAGTTAATTTGTAAAGATTTCATAAATTGTAAAGCTGCTATTTAAATTAGCCGATACTTCCAATATTCTAGAGCACATATTAAAATAACAGCATGAAATACATAGCATATTGGAAGAATAAAATCTCATATTTTATAAGATTTGCAATCATTAATAAAATTGAAAGAATTAATTAGTATAAATAGAAAATTGAAATGAACTGAAATATACCTTCTCTTTTCAATTAAATGAATACAATGCTCTCCGCCATAGCCAAATTCACATTTGCATTCATAACTTGCCACTTCTCTATTATTCTTTATGCTAACTGTAGGATGCACGCATATACCATGCACACAATCATGTCTCGTTCGATTTAGATCATCCGGAATGCATGGATCTTCTACAGTGCATTGTTTTCCAATATATCCTAAAATAATCAAGATCCATTCTTTTCCAATATAGCCTAAAATAATCATTATTCTATATAGTTCATTGTACAGCATTTCGTTGCTAAACAAACTAACCGATATCGCAAACACAATTGTATGAGCCAATCAAGTTGATGCATCTACCGTACACACAAACACCCTGATCACATTCATTGATATCTTCGGTGCAGTGGTTACCTTGATAACCTGTACCTTCACAATTACATTCGTATCCATTTACGCGATCCATACAACTTCCATTATTCTGGCATACTTCACTAACACAATCATCAATATCCACTGAACACGTTTCTCCTTTAATCAATCAACGTTTAAATTGTGATGTATGTTAAGATGAAACTGAATGAAACTGTTAACGGTATCTTTGGATGTTCCAAAATTATTGAAATTTAATTTTTGCAACATCAAAATTTTATTTATTTGTCCTCCAATAGTTTCTACGAAAGAAAAATATCAAACTTTTTTAAAGAAAAATTTTGTTCTATCTTTTAATTATTTGTGGGAATTCAAAGAAGTGCTTTGAGAAAGGAATAGAAGAATTTTTAAATCTTATCTTCAAGAAATTCAGTAAAAAAGACTTCTAGAGAGAAGATGATAAGTAAAATCTTTAATAAAATTTCCTTTTCTTTCATTAATGCTGAATTTAGAAAGAGTTCTTATTATAATCAAATAACCTGTAAAACCAGGTAAGCATAAGCAATTGAAGCCACCGATGAACCCTTGGCAGGTAGCACCATTCATACACGGATTTGAACTACAGTAATCAATCATAATATCACATATATCACCAGTATACCCCTGTCTACAGACACATGAATGTGCAGTTGATGTTTGCTGTATGCAATTACCGTTATCACCACATGGTCCCTGTACACAACTGCCCACTATTTCACAACGATCCCCTAAAATCTCGAAATTTATTGTTATCAAATGAAGGTCTTATAATTAAGCAATGTTGAAGCATATTAAAAAAAAGCTCTTCCATATCTTTAGCGACCGGCGAAAGAATTACTAATAAAAGTGATACGAAGCCGAAGCTTTAATAGTATCCAAGAAGTATTTGAATTTTTTGAAAATTGATGAATGATTGTTATTAAATAGGATTTTAAAAGAAGTGTAATAAAAAATAAACCTAAATAATAGCTATCGCAGCTACATTGATATGATCCAGGTGTATTAGTACAATTACCATCATTTTCGCAAGGAAATCGTATACATTCATCGATATCAACATCACAATGTTCACCGCTCCAACCTGATTCACAATCACACAAGAAATTATCAGTTATTGTTTTACATTGTCCATGTACACAAGGTAATGAATCACAGTAATCTTTCATTTCATCACAGAAACGACCTGCAAATGTAAATAAACAACAACGTTGGAAAAGATATTATAAAAATGATGAACTATATGTATCATATTGCATAATACGACAAAAATAATGAATATTATTTTATAGTTAATCTTATTATTTTAAAATGTGCAACAAAATTAAATTTTATTAGTCTAATATCATGGGGCAGAAGATTACTTAGTGTTAACAATTCGCGCTTTGCATATTTTCCAATTCCATAAAATAATTCTAATTAGCAAGCAGCGCTGAATTTATTCGAATAATACCCATAAAATTAGGATAACATCATTTTGGAAAAATTTACGTAATCTTTTTAGCTGTACTTTTTTCTTGCTCATTTCATTTGTATTTTTCTGGTGAGTGGAAAATTCCCAGGTGCAAAAAAACAGCTCGATCAGCTTTGCAGCAATTAAGCAATTTAAAATAAAATGAATACCTTCATAACCAATGGCACATATGCATTTAAAATCGCCATCTTTTGATAAGCATGTCGCTCCATTTTTGCATGGATTTAACTCACACATATCTCTTTGCATATCACAAAGCATACCATCAAAACCTGGTGGGCAATCGCATTTGAATGTATCCTAAAATATTAAATACATAATAAAACATTCTATTCACTTGTGAAAATTTTTACTTGCCCCCTCAACAATTTGTGATATTAAAAAACTTTCTTACAGAATTTTGCGGTACTTTTTAAAAAATAACGATCTGGATTTAATTCAAATTTATCTATGATTTTCTGCAGCCCATTAATATGAAAGTAAATTATATCTCTCTTAAATGAAATTCATCTTCCTTCATATTTCATAAATATTAAATGCTATTTTTTCTTTTCAAATAAAAATGAATAATACCTAACCTGAACTATTGTACAGTTCGCTCCATTTTCACATGGCGAAGGAATGCATTTGGATGATTTCTATAAAAAGAAAAAAACATTGCAACTCAAAAGATTGAAGTAATGCCTTATAACTTGATCATTATATTAATTGATCAGTTCAGAAGCTCTATTCCTTTCATTGCTTTATCATAAAATGCATGTGAAATTCTTACAAGTGCTTGGCAACGTGATCCGACAAAGTCAAATGGACAATGACAGTTGTATTTGCCCTTAAACAATGTACAGTTTCCACCATTCAAACATGGTGATAATTTACATAAATCTATTTCTTTATCACAAAATTCTCCATCATATCCTGGCAAACATACGCACCTGTAATAATTTATTGAAAAAAAGCTTATTAAACCGGAAGTATAATAATTTTAAAGTTTTAATTAGATTTCTTTACCCATAATATTATAGATTTTACCTTGATAATTACGAAAAGCATTTGACCAATTAAACCTTCTTTCTTAAATTACTTGTTTTAAAAAAACTACAAATAATTAAGAAAAGCATTAAAATTCACCTATATTCATCAACATCATTGACACATATGCCAAATTTACAAGTATGATTTATACATCTATCAATTCGTTCCTGCAACATCAACAAAGCTAAAATGGTATTATTTCATGTCGAAAACTCTCTGATTAATAGTCTCTAAAAAGAAAAAATTCATAAGTAGAAAATATAAATCATAAACATGAAATCTAACTAGCCTAATATAAAAATAATAGATGAACAGGAAAAAAGAAAATTCATTATTATGATTTGAAGAGAATGTTGACCTCACAAAAAATGCCAGTAAATCCAGGCCTACATTCGCATATTCTTTTATTCCATAAATCACGACAAATTGCTTCATTTTTGCATGGATTTGCTAAACCACAAAGATCGTCAGCGTAGCAACGATTATCGATGATATTTCGACGCTTTATTAACTTAAAATGTGTGGTGCTTTCCAATAGACCACCAGCTTGTTTATCAACAAAAAATGAAATCGGTGGAGCTATTCCAATTTGTACATTTTCCAGACAACCCTGAAATAGAATTTGTTATTATCTAAAAAAATTCCTATATCAGATAAAAATTCACTTTGCAAAAAAAAGAGGTGATTGATTCAACAAACGATAATAATTAATATCGACAGTTATCAGATGCAACTAATGGGAAAGTTTTGGAACGGATATTGGTTCCATTTCTGAAAAAAAAAATCACTTAAAGATAAAACAAAATTAAATTAAAAAAAATTATGCTCAAATAAATTCACATACATCGAATGATGGCATTTCATCATTTCGTTGTCCAATTATTAATGTAAAGTTATCAGTGGAATCAAATGTGTTGATTGGTAAGATCAACGATGAAATCTTGGCACTAAGCTTCTCATCGATATATAAACCATTTTGATTGATATCGATACTATGCTTTGCACCATCATTTACTATCAGATTTGTAAAACTTTGCTGTTTCATATCATCATTTGTCAGTGCATCATAAATAAGTAAGCCATCATTTAGTGAGATAGATAGCCAAGAAGTTGAAGTTTTCTAAAAAAGGAATGCGACAAGCTGTGCATTATACGCGACAAGATTATATATGCAGTAAGAATGATAAAAGAAAATCTTTCATATTTGCAAGAGCATAATGGCTCCAATTTACTGTATTATAAGAAATTTCATCATTATAAAATTAAAATAAAACTTACCAAGTGAATAATTTGACCTGATAATGAACGAGTTCGTAGCACAAAACTAATCTGTGAGGGTTTCGAAATATCCTTCATAGCACCACCATTCTCCAATTTAAATTTTGCAAATGATGTAGATACAAATGTTGCTGGTGAACTGCCTGTCAACAATCATCGCATCATTATGATCGTCTTTATTAAAATTTTTGTGTTTTTTTTATTAAAAAATTAAGTAAGACTGAGTTAAATAGCATTTAAAAATAATAATATAAAATGATAGATGAACTTACAAACATAACCACCGTTGTAATTAGTACACGTTGCATTTGCGCTACAAGATGAAAGTGCACAATAATCAGTTTCATTACAATGTTTTCCAACCCATGAATACTCACATATGCATTCAAAATCGTTAAACGTATTTAAGCATTCTCCATTCACGCATGGTTTTAAAAGAGTGCAAATATCATCTGACACTGTTCCCTGCAAAATGTATTTGAATGAAATAAAAAGAAAAAATAATATTTTACACAAAAAATTATTCTACTTATAGATTTGGAAAAAACTTCAAAAATTTAAAGAATTATGCCAGTGGTTCTTTCCATTTTAAATCAGTGGGTTAAAAAAAACATTCATGAAATAACAATAACGCGCATATGGTTTCATCATTAAGAGTAGCAGTGTAATTACAAATCACATTAAACTAATAAACGATTTTCTCTCTCAACATTCTTATTAATTTCACACCACTAACCTTTAAAAAAATTAATAACCAGTTAACATGTAAAAATAATTTTTATTGATCATATCAAATTTTTTAGTTTCGGCAAATATACGAGAGAAAAAAAATTACAAAAGAAAAATTTTTACTTTTACTTTACTACAATTTAAAATGACCTGAAGAATATTATCCTCTTTGATCGGAACACCAAATTGCTGTATTTTAATATCAGCGGGTAGTGTTGTAAGAGGAACCAAATGGTTGTTAATACGCAAATCTTGTAGTGTTCCTTTGAAGTAGTCATTATTTGAAAATGCATCGATAGGTAAATTTTCACTGCTACCCAAAATTAATGTATCTGCTAGTAACGGATGATCAAAACGATTTTCAACGTTGAATTTTGTTTCTTCCATGTCATCTATTGTAATCTGTATAGAGAAAAAATAGTAAAATAACAACTTAACATTCAAGCTGTAAATTTAATTATTTTATCTTCTCAGTTAGCAAATATGACTTCAACACTGAACTTTTATAGTATGAAACGGTATAACTCATTTTAACCGTACAATTATGAATGGAAATATGCGTAGTGCATCCAATAAAGTAAAGTGTGAAAATAATTCAGTGAAATTTTTGAAGGAAATATAAAAAATCAGGAATAAAAATAGAAGCTTACAGTGAAATTATTCCGATCTCTGATTAAATTTATCAAATGCACTTTATTATCATCGATTTTATCTGATATACTTCTTACGAACACTTTTTTGCCTCCCAAACGTGTTCGTATATTTAAAGAACCATTGAGAATTTCTAGCACTAAGAAGGTTCCAATACCATTATCATCATCATCCTAAATAAAAAATACTCTGAAAAAATTTTCCACCATAATCCGCATCTGCGATACCTTCCATGTTTTAAATTATTTGAATCCATAATATCTAACAACGAAAATAAGCGCTCCTCACATTTTTTTTCTCTCAAACTTCAGCTAAAACTTTTAAATAATTAGATGATAAGAAGCTCTTAAAAAATATAAAAAGGACAGACATTGTTTGTTGAATATTAGGTTTAGTAAATGCAATATACCTTTTCACCGAGATACAACAATGTTCCATTGGGTTTATTACTCCTCATCAAGAAATCAATATTTGTATTTAGTTTAATATCTTCCAAATTTTGTTCTGCATCTAATTCCAAACGTGATTTCAAATTATCATATCCAAATGTTACTTCATCTGTTTGTTGTATACAATATGGTGATAAGAATGGTTTTTTACATTCACAACGAAATTCATCCCACTGATCAACGCAAATGCCACTATTTTGGCATGGATTAGGAGAACATAATTCGGAACGTTGACATCCTTTAACCACTCCAAATACATTACTATAATTGAACAATTATATTTGGAAATTCTCTAATTGATTAACTTTTGATTTAATTATCCATTGCTAATAATGATTTCTTATATAATTTAATGCATAAAATCTTTTTTGATCTTTACTAATTCATTATTTAAACTGCACATCAAATAAATGTTAATTTCATTGATTTTTGAATACAGTAACTTAAAGAAAAATAAACTGGTTTATACATTTTGATATTTATAATACTTACGCTGATTTGAGCATATCAATGAATTCTCCATTGATAAATAGATCACGAATACAACCTCTGAAACCATCTGTTCGACCTTTACCTATCCGTGTCCAATAAATCCCCATATTTTTTTGTTCCTTCATTTTTATACGCGATAAAACAAAATCTCCTTCGCGTATTTCGAGCAAAACAATCTGAGAATGAAATTGTGAAAAAAAAATTTGTAATTTCAATGATTGAAATTCTTCTGCATTTATTAATATTGGATTTAACAATTAATTTTCTAAAGTTATTTCACTAAAAAACCCATTCTGAACACTTCCTTATATAAGTGATAGTAATGTAATGAAGTTATCAACACAATACAACTTTTATGCTGCAATATTTTAAAAAAATTGAGAATGATAAAAGATTAAGTACAATTTAAATCATTAAAAGTTGACAATTAGTTGAATTAAATAATTTCAGTGTTATTTAAATTCGATTTACAATTAATTCAGATATGTATCGCTGTTAACCTTGCAAGTACCGAACAATTGGATGACTTCAGAAAATCAATTAAAATTGCAAATTTCAAACCTTATTAGTATTATTGAACAATACAGTATACCAGTGATCGTCATTTACAGCAAATGGCAACAATTTTCGATAAACAAAATCAGTGAAGTTACCATATAAATAGCCGTTTCGTATGTTTAAAGCAAATTGTATTTGACTTAAAATATCTTCTGTTGATACGATATGCGTATCATCTACAGTTGTCCGAAATGAAACCTTTAATGTATAATCAGACTGTGGTAATCTAAAAAAAAAGTTAATGAGAGATAAGAATTCTTTTACATTTTCGTCAATTTGTCTCTATTTAATTTCAAGTATGTTTTGCATTTCATATAAAGAAGTTAAAAATTTGAGCGAAAAATAAATTTCATCGGATGAGCAAAGAGTTCAACAGATCATGTGAAGATGAATTGAATGAAAATGAAATTTATTTAAATTTGGTACTAATAAGTGCAAGAGAAAAATATGGAAAAAGGAAAGAAACATACCCGATAATATTATTTGATGATTGATAGAGAAAGAATGAAGCATTATGAAATGTTACAGCACTATTTATGGTACAATCTATTCCAGTTAGGCCTGGTGCACATCCACAAGAGGCTATTGTTCCAGAACTTGTAAGCTCATTTCGACATATCTGATATTGGGTACAGGATAGATTTTGACATTCCTGTAAACGCATGAAATAAATTGACCAGAGATATCTTCTGTTAGGTTTTACTGAGACTTAATTTTTAACTTTTGTGAAATACATCGCCAATAAATATGTTAATAAACAAAATCCCCTTTACTGATCACTTGTATGATTTTATCATATCATTTCATCATTCTGCAATATTGCATTTAATGCAATTTACTCTGTGTTCATTATGAATTGAGAAAAATTATTCAAACCTCAATTTGACGATCACATTTTAGTCCAGTCCACGAGGTATCACAAACGCATACTGCATTTTTATCATTTTCAATACATCGAAATGAATGTACACAATCATCACAAGTTATTTGAGCCTGAAATCTGCATTTCTGGAAAGTATTTAGGGTTACTTTAAAAAAACTCAGATACAAAAGTAATTGCTTCAGAAGAATCATTTAGAATAGACAGAATTTGACAGAGAGAGATATAAATGATTGTTAAGAAGAAAAGATAGCGTTTATTTCTTTGATCACAGATAAATCTCTTACTTCAATGCAGTTAAAAGTACCATCTCTTTCTTCACAAGTTTCACCTGCGATACACTCCGGTACACATTCCGTCTCGTGTACTGCTAGTTCACAAAGTGTACCGCTGAAGTGTTTATCACAAATACACTTAAAGTTAGACGTATCTGAAAATGTATTAAAGTAACTTTTTACAACTACAATGTCTGTTTTTTTCTTAACGATCACTTTCATGGTTTTGATCTAAATTAAATAAAAATCCATGCTAAGGTATGAAGTTTTTTGAAACTAACCAAATTTAACGCAACGAAAATGTTAAAATCAAATTACGAAAGATAATATGAAGCAAAATACTATGTAATAAGTAGAATAAGAAATAGACGTTGTGAAATAACAAATCGCATTTCTATAACTTACTCGTAAAGTCAATAATACATCTGCCACCATTCATACATGGCTTTGTTTTACAAATATCCGTATTTTCACAAAATTCGCCTGAATTCCCTTCCGGACAAATACAAATTGCTGAATCATCCTTATTTATGCACTGACCTGATAAAAAAACTAATTGAAGATTTGCTAAAAGGTAAATGAATAATAAATCTATTAATAAAACTGATGATTTTAACTGACTTAGAAGATTCACTTCTTCACTTATGGGATTTTTGGTGAAACGTAGTTATCACTACGAACGGAGAAATGGTATCTTATCTTCATTTCAAAAAACATTGACGCAAAGATAAGTCTGAAAGTAAAAGAAGCACCTGCATTACAATTTTTGTGCAAACATGGGTCGAGCATTTCTAAAACATTTCTTTCGCAATTTTTTCCCTCAAAACCATTTTTGCAATTACAGATAGCTCCATTTACAGACCATATACAGGTGCCATGTATGCAAGGGTTGCTAAAATTCGTACAGATAAACATATAAGACAATTTTATTTATAATTTAATTTTAATCCAAAAATAGTTTTTACATTATCTTCAAAGTAATACGGTTTGTTGGAAGTTAATATCTACTTTATCTTGTTGGTATGATAATTATAAAAATTTGTATTGATGAAAATAAAGATGATACCCATCAACGGTGCATTCAAGCCCATGTTCACAGCGTATACCTGTGAAAGCAGGTGGACATAAGCAACTACCAGCAGTTTCAAGACAAGTACCGCCATTCTCACAGCTTTCATTTCTTACACATGACCATGATAGCGGTTGATCACAATCTTTGCCCTATAGTTTATTATACCTTAAATCAGAAGTTTGATTTTCTTTGAAATCTATAGCAATAGCACAAAATCTTTTATCAATATCGTTACCATAAAGCCATCAGGACATTTGCATATTCCATTGATACAAATTTGCTTATCACTCTTGCAATTGCATTTCTCCTCAATTCGTTCCTGCAAAATTTTCTTTCTAAAATATTTTAAAAGAAAATAATTAAATAATTAATTCAACAAAATGTTTTTTTTTTATTTATTTTTTCATCTTTAAATTATTTTTTTAATGAAAACTAATGGGTTTCTATGGAAATGAATGTAAATGCGAAAATGATGTTATTAGAAGCTATTAATTTTCAAAAATTATTATCACATTCAAATATCGAACAATTCCCTAAATGAGATATAAAATAATTTAAAGCCATTTTGGAGTAAATAAAATAGGAAGAAATGAAAAATGGATGAAATAACATTTGCCGATAATTGATGGTATTTCTCGGCATGCAATAAATTAAAATTGGCAAATTCTCCTTTGTCGCAGTACATCATTTGATTGACTATAATTAGCCACACAAGCGTTTACCTGACATCGATTAGAGGTAAAACCAGGTCTACAGCTACAATGATACAAACCATCGATAATACTACAGATTCCATCATTGAAGCATGGATTGGGATTACATAATGTATTCTCTTCGCATAGAGTGCCTTAAAAATATAATTGAAATAAGTACTTTCTCACCGCTTTGTGAATTTTGTTTCTGAATTTAATTCTTAATTCAATTAAAATATTGGAGGAGGTAATATGCATGAGATGGAGATAAGGGATTATAATGCCCACAAAAAAATCAATCATTACATAGAAAGTTAATGAGCCAAGAGATTGATATTATAGCCAAGAAATTGATATTTATATTAATAAAAAGATTTTTTTCCCATTTCAAAAAATTAATCTATATTTGTTTTCCTGAACAGAGATGAATTAAATTTAAAAATGTTATCGCTTTTGGATTTTAAGTGTAATGGCTTGCACCTAAAAAAAATAATATTAACCTCGGAAGCCATCCTTGCAGAGACAAATAAATGAGCCAAGGTTATTCATACAGATAGCATCATTTTTGCAAGGTGTGTTCATACATTCATCAATGTCATCTGCACATAATGCACCTTCAAATCCATCAGTGCAAGTGCACTCAAATGTATCCTGCAAACTAGCCTAGCATAATCATATCTAAGAAACTAACTTAGCTCCTGTGAACTAACCTAATTTGATTAATGCCTGAAAATAATCGTTAATCATACAGAACATTAATTTATTTCATATCAACTGCATGCATTACTTAACATAAGCAAATTTGCATAATACTAAAACATCTCACTTACTTTAACCGATATGCATGTTGCATTATGTTGACATGGATTTGGTATACATTGATTAGGCATGCAGCGCCATTTTCCTTTCTCAGTTATTATACATCTATAAATTGTAAAATTTTAGGTTCAATTTAAATTTCATCATTTCGCAATTGTTACTAGTAAATATGAAGATGTATCAAAAATCACAACGAATAGTTAATATCCTAATAAATTAGTAAATTTAATTAGCTAATATTTGAATGAAGTTAACAATGAGGAAATATACTTTTCATCATTTGAACAGCCTTGAACTTGGCAGTCAATTGAACTGATTTCACATAATTCACCCGAAAATTCTGCAACTTCCAGCAATTATTTCTCTTTTTCACTACTCTTTTAAAATCATCAATTATTAATAATAATAGATGTTATAGAACAAAATTTCCCCTTAATATGGTTAATTTTTGGGATGACATCAGTGACACATTCATTTCTACAGTACTCATAAATTCACTAATAAAACAAATTGATGAAGAATGAGAGATGTGATTGTCGAAAAACTGATTATTATTAAGTCCTCATTTTACGACATTTTTGCGCTTATTTTACGAGCGCAATTAACATCGTCATCTTATAAGTGGAATATTATTGTCTTAATATGAAAATTAGAGTAATTAGAGTAAATAATTTCTTAAATTAAATTAGTATAAAAAAATAATATTGCTTACTGCTTAAATGATAAATAAAAATGATTAAATTAGATACTAAATTTATACCATAATGAATTAAATAGCCAAATTAATTAGACAAAATTAATATTTCTTTTTTTAAACAATGATAATATATACATGCTATTATTAGGCTCTAAGAAGAAATTTGCATATACCTTTTAATTATTGCTTTAAACTTTTATTGCAAACTTTAAAAGAAGAAACTAATGAATGAATAAGAAAAAGGTCAAATGATTTAATTATTTCTTTTTTAAATAAATTTTTGCAAACTTTAAAAGAACAAGAAATAATGAATGAATGAATAAGAAAAAGGTCAAATACCTTCTAAGCAATTACATTTTGATTTTCCATTGTCAGTAAAGATACATATTCCATTGTTCTGACATTTCAATGAGCAAACTTTTTCCGACTCGCATAGCAATCCTTCGAAATCAGCTGGACAAAAGCACTGGAAACTACGATCGTGTTCATTTACTTTGCATGTTCCGCCATTTAAACATACATTACTTTCACATTGTCGCAGTGCAAGAAAACCTAAAATATTATTTAGCATTCTGATAATTTGTCTTTTTATCATTAACACTAAATGTTAATTGAAAACAATAAATCACAAAATTAATCCAACAAAAACTTTTTAATGCTATTATTATCATATTTATAATAATTTTATTTTAGTATTTTTTAGTTCACAACTCAAATGTGAAAAGTTTTAATGTTTATTAAGAAAATGAACGCATTCTCTCTGTTAGTTTTAATTTAAAATATTACTTTTGAAATGATTCAAAATTTTACGTTAAAATATTTGCATAATTAAATTTCCCGCAAGGAGTGAATAGAAGGTTTACTTATAGAAGGTTTTACTTATATAATTTACTTATATAGGTTTACTTATAAAAGGTTTTACTTATATAATTTACTTATATAGGTTTACTTATAGAAGGTTTTACTTATATAATTTACTTATATAGGTTTACTTATAGAAAGTTTACTTATATAATTTATACTTTTCAGTTAACCTTTTTTGCTTTATTATCCTTTACACAGAATTATGCAATTGAAGAAAATTATGCCAAACATTTTTATACGATAAAATTATCATCAATTCTGAGAAATCATTCAGCTGAACATATTCACAAATACTTTCATTATATCAGTTCTATATTGCTATGATAATAATGATTAGCTTATCAAATTTGATCATAATTTCCCCCCAAATATTACATCTATAAAACATTAATTTAATTTATTTTATTTCTTAGCATAATTTTTGTTAAATAATTTAAGTGTAAAGAAATTTAAGAACGAAATTTTGTTGCAATCTTTTTTATTTCGTTGTTTTTTGTTTAGCGATGTATACCAATGAGTTATTTTCTACAACAATGAAAAATTTCGGGAATTATTTATGATTGAATGAGGATGGTTATAGGAATGAAATATTCAATGCCACTTTTTCAATTTCAGATTGTGAGAGTAAAAAGTATATTATTTGTTGTGATATGATGGCAATTGATGGATGAATAAAATATATTTTGAAAAAAGAACATTGTAATCAAACAATGCAAAATATCAAAATTATCTTAGCAAGAAAATTAATGATAAAATTCAGGTAAGATCTAGATCCAATAACTCAAATCATCGAATATTACCGCAATCAAGAAAATGTAAAGTATAAATTATGAAGTTAAAATAAGTGTAATTAATTTAGTAGGAACTCTCGCTACTACTGATATCTTATTGCTTATTCATAGTTTTATTATTCATTAGTTTACTGACCCCTAACTATTCATCCGGATCGAATAATCATGCATGATTTCCGCTTCCCTCCCGTAAATTTGTGATGTATTCTTGCCTGTTAGTAAACAAATGATGCCTCAAAAAAGAAAGAAGAGAATTCCCGAAAGGATATTTCTTCATCTCAATAATTTAGGAAATAAAATTCTTTCTCAGATGAACTGTTCCATTTTTCTCTTTTACAAAACCGTAAAAAAGCAAATTTATTACATAACAATTTGATTTTCATTTTAAACTATCAGTAAATGAAAAGATTAATTCATAATCAGAAGTAAAAGTATTTATCCTGAAATTTGTTTATAGAATTGAATCTGATAGTTTAAAATCAATCTCAATTTATATTTCTAAAACAAAGATGAAATAAAAATATTTGATGAATAATTTAATTGAATGAATAAATCGATGATTTGTTGAAAGTAACAAAATTCCGATAACAATAAATAAATGCAATTGAAGTATTACTTCATTTTTTTTTTCAATTCAAAATTTCAATGATTTCTAATAAGAAAATTATAATAATTGATAGGTTCATTTCCTAACTATATATTTGTAATTTATTTTGCATGTTAACAAATGATTCTGTACAACGAATAAATAGATATGTAGGACATGAACAAAGCTCGCCAATCCTTTTCCTCGCTGTCGTTAAATGACCGATTAAACGTTCTACATAGATAATTATCAATTTTTATATTGTTCAAATACAAGTATCAGTTTGATACGAATTATTTGACAGTACCTATTACCTGGATTAATGTGTAATTTTCAAAACTATTCAAGCTTATCTATGCGTAACAAATAAGAATCAATGAAACATTGAAATTTGTAAACTATAAGGAAATGTTTTTTCGTTTATAATTCATTTGAAATTTATAAAAGATTTGATAAATAAGAATTTATTTCATTAAATAATAATTCAATAAGCGATGAATAGAATATAAGTAATATAAGCAAGCGCTTTTTGTGAATTTTAATCCAAAAATAATTTGAAATACTATTTTCAACATATTTCACTTTAAGTTACTCATTAATAATTATATTAACAGCCAATTATACTAAAACAAAAAATCGAAAATAATATTATAATCGTATAATCAACTTTTGCAATATTTTCAATGGTTAAAAGCTTTTCATTCTTAAAAGTTCTTATAATTATAGTTTAATAATTCTACAAAACTTCATATGTTTCAGACTTTCATTATTTTTTGAATGTATAATCATTTAATTCTAACATTTCAAATTATTAAGTTCATTTATTGTTTTAATGACAAATATGAGAAAGACTATATTCGCAAGCTTTAAGAATGGTAAAAAGAAAGTAATAAGATGAAGATAAGTGTCTATTGGCTGAAATTCTTGAGTGGTCACTCACGAAATAAACTAAAGTCAACTATTTGTTTACATATATCAACATCAAAAGCAGTTATATTACTTATTTGAATACTCACGCACGTTACTTAACGTCGAGAAAAATCACAAGTTCATTAGAAGATTGAAAGTAAAATAAAGCAGAAAATGAATAGCTTTAAATTCATTGCTAAGTTTTCATGATATCAACGAAAAACAAAATGACTCATACATTATTTATACGTTAAGTTCAACAAATTTACAATAAAATAAAATCATTTATACTATAAAATTTAAAATTAAATTTCTTAATCTTATTATTGTTAATATCTCTCAGTTGTCATTTTACTTACAGTACATACAGACCACTTAAATTTCAATTTAAAAAAAAATTAATAGGAATTTGCGTATTTACATTCTTTAAAAATGTCACAAAACCGGTGCACATATGTATAAATCTTATTTCTGATTATAATTTCTGTAGAAAATTAAGGTCATTTTTGAATGATAATGGATATAAAATTTAAATGGTATGTAAACGTATACTAAATGTTGTCTTATCCTACCTTTATATCTTACCTTATTACTCATTTGTTAATTACATTATTTTTCATATCGTCAATAAATATGAATTTATGTATTTTTGAATTTAAATCAAAAAATTTCAAGTTTATTCAAATTTATTTTAATTAAATAATCCATAAAACAAAATGAATTGTTGTGGTTTAATAGTTGCAATAAAATTTAGAATAGTTGAATTTATTGGACATATAAAACTAGAATTTCTTCATGTATTTCACAGATTTGGATTAAATTTTCTTATCTGTTGGATTAATTTTTCTTAACTGAGATATAGAAGTATCTAATTTGTATTTAATAAGTACCGTTTTGATTTTCATCGATAAATTTTTATGATTAGATTGTTGATATTGATGATAAAGGTGGCGATCAGATAAAAATGACAATAATAGTGAGGTTAGGTCAAAAAAAAAGAATCAAATTAGTGTTTAAAGGTCAAAATTTATCGCTAATATGTAATTATAGAAAGAGGAATGAAATTTAAAAATTTGCAATCGTTGATTCTAATTAAAATGAAAAAATTTGTTAATTAAACAAATTATTCGTTAATTTCTTAATACTTTCACGATAGATTAAATGGAAAGATTCGCTGATAATAAGATTCTAAAATTCCCGCAATACGAACAAATTGATGAAATGAATTGATAATTTAAAAATAAAATTAAAAACTAAAGTCGATTTTTTACAATGTGCTACAAAAATATCTTCATCTCGATTTTTACTGCAAAATAAATTATCAATAAAAATATGGAATGATCAAATTTGAAAATCTAAACGGTAACTTCGGCAACATTAAATGCATTTATGAGATGATTGATTAAGTTGTTTGAGGCTAATGACAAGTAATGATTGAATGACATATAACATCATCATCATTGTTATCTGTAGCATTATCAGTTAAAAATGATGATATGTTTGTTTATTGATAAGAAAACATAAGAAAGAACAAAGTTGTAATTTATGATCGGAATCGAGACGGAAAGTAGAATGTGTCAGATAGAATTTATTAATTATCAAGTGGTAGATGATTAATTATGATCTACGGAAGAAAATAATCATTAAGCTAGCAAATCTTCAGTAAAAATATTTTTGTATACAAGAAAATGAGACAGATTAGAATTAATTAGTTATGATAAAATTTTTCCACGTTGAAAACATATTTCAATAACAACCTTCATGAATTACTGGAAGCTTTTAAATTTAAATAGGTAAATGAAAAGTGGAAATTTGTGTATCATATATTAAACATGTATTATTTTCTAGTAATTCAATTATTTTTAAATTGAATTGAAGAATCAAATTTCATTGTAAGAGCTTCGAAAAATTATATACTTTTATTTCTGAATTATCTGCCTGAAATCAGACAATGCTCGAATCACTCAAAGAAATCATAAGGCATTTTCGATCATTTTCATGCACTCCTTTTTTGAAGTCTACACATTTTTTGCAAAATAAAAATGTGATATTTTCCAAACTATCAGTTTATATTCTATCAGCAAAATATATAATCAAAATTCTTTCGCGAAATTGAAAATAATCAGGTCGATCCATTTCATTTGGCAGTTTCTTATCAGCTAAATCTCTTATCTGAGTTCAACAAAGTTGTGAAAATTAAAAGATATTGAGAGAATAAGTGAGAAGGAAATTTTAGAAGTGAGAAACTTCAGAATCATCAAAAATGTAAAATATAATCTCAAAAATTTAAAACTTATGCTGAAATTCATTAGCTTTCGATAAAATTAAATCACATTGCTCCGGAAAGTTTCAAAAAAGTTCGCCTCAGGTAAATTAAAATTGGTAACAAACCTTGTAAATTGGTGAATAACAGTATTAGAACAAGCATATATGTGCACATATACCTGCAGCAACTGTATTTTCAGTTGGTAGTGCTTTTATATTCGTGTAACCGTTGCAAAAGAAGGTCATATACAGAAAAACGAAAGGTCAAAGGTCAGGGACACTGTTGATTCCAGAGAAGTTTTATTGAAGCAACAATGTTTAATTAGTGTATGAGCGGTAATGAATAGTAATGGTAGTGTGTGTGGAAGAAGAGAATAGTTGAGGAATACGGTTTAATGAATAGACTAAAGCTATTGACGATATTCCTGCTGCGATCTTCTTTCTGTCAATGAGGTAGATTGTCATTGGATCTTTACTCCAAAGTTGTCGTAAAGTTTGGTATTGTATTTGTTTGACTTGTTGATAGAAGAGAGCGTAGAATCGAGTGGAATGACAACAAATATATGAGTACAGACTAGTGGTCAAAAAGGTATTTTAGAAAGCATATGCTGTACTATTATAGGAAAAGTAAAATTTAATGAATGTTTAATTCGAATATTTTTAAGCTATTAAATGAAAATGTTAGAAATGAAGATGTTGATTGGTGCGATTAGGACAGGAATGATGATGACACTAGTTGACAACGTTGACACTGAGATGGCTGTACTTGATATCTGCCTATATCTTCTCCATATCCATCTCTACTATACCTACCATTTACAACTACTGCTGAAACAGTTGCGGAAGAAAGATTCTGTTGATAGTGATCGCGCATCTCTCCCACATCCTTTCCCTCTCATACTCCGAACCTCGTTCTCCTCCCGCTCTCTACTTCCACATTTCATCTCATACACAAATCAAAACTGCAATAATGACTGACTAGAAATGATTGATGAATGAACCGGTTCCCTAAAAGATATCTACAATGATAAAAAATTGCCAGTTCATTTTAACCTTTTTTTTTAACTCACAATTATTATTGATCATAATGTCTACATACCTATGTCATCATCATCATTTATTTTTTTAAAATTATCTTTACATCACTTACGATCATTTAGTATAAAACTGATCTGACACGTCTAATTTTTCATGATTAGTAGTACATTGCTAATATATATTGAAAAGGTCTTACAGTCAAATTTCATCAAATGATTCATTTTCGAAATAATTCATTTTAGTTTTATGAAACATATGGCACAATCATTAACTGAAACAGAATTGAGCTATTTAATTGATCTAAATAGCTTTCTATTGTCTAACTAATCTAAAGAGAGTTTGTTTGCTTAAATAACCTAAATTGAATTGAGTTATCAAATTTCATTTCAATATTTTCTCCTAAATTCTCTTCTTTTATTACTTTACAAATAAACAAATAAATTATTACATAAATCTCTTCTATAAATGTGATATGTGCTTGTTTAGTGGTAGAAAAGGTATGAAAATTTATTCATTACGTTCTTATTCAATTTTTGATTTTTTTTAAATTTCCAATTTACATTATTTATTTTGTAGTATAAAATGTAAATATCTCTTCCATAATATTTTTTCAAAAGGTAAATTGTGATTCACATTTATTCAACAATAGTGAATAGTGAAATATTGTTAAGCGGATATTTCTCTTCTCTAATGTCATCAGAGAGATTATGGAAGATTTTAAAGAAATGAAAAAGCATTCAGTTTTTTTACTCCCATGTAAACAATTCGTTATAAAACAAAACTCATAATAGTTATTTCAAATTCATTCATTATTGATTTATCAAATCCTAAAAGTTGAAAATATTTCACTTTTGGTTTTAATAATTTATAAATTAGCGATACTATAATTCATTTAAAATAATTATAATTAGTTAAGATTTCATAAAATACACCTCACAAAGCATATATCTTTTCCATTTAATCATAATTTTTTCTTCAATTATCGAAGCATTAAAACAATATTAATTATTAAATTTTATTTTAAATACTGTTAGAAAAATGATTTGTTATGTATTTTTGGTAAGGAAAACTCGTTTTTCCATTCAATCATTATTAAACATTTTAAATTTTGTCAATTATAGGGAATAAATTTTTTCCCATTTCACTTTTCCGACTTTTAAAAATAACTGTAAATTTTGCCTATTTCTTTTGAACTAAAAAAGGAAATAGAAGGGAAGAAAGAATGGATTGAAAAGAATGTTCGAATTCATTCGTTGTGATATTTTATCCTTTCATATTATTTCTTATCGTGTCGTTATGAGAATTGCCAAAATAATTCTTTCAACACTCTCTCTTTTGTTAAGTTTCATTCATTCCATCTTTTACACTGATGATAATAACAAAAATGTCAAATTTCTACGAATAAATTATTTCTAATAAAGGAATTAATTAACATAAAAATAAACGAAGAAAAATTATATCATTTGATGATAAAAATAAACTTTCAAAACTGATACACATAAAATGTAAAATTGATAAGAATAAAAAGAATTAAAATGATTTCGACATCTAACAATTAATATCATCTATCTTCAACATGATATTATGACATCGTTATTCTTCTATTTGTGGTATCGTTCAGCTGGCAACTATAAATAAAGAATGAATGAAAAAAAAACAGATTAATTTTAATTGAAAATATTTCAATATTCCAGAATATTTTATGAGTACAATTGTTTTCTATGTAATTTCATTCAATGGAAATTGAACACTACCATTTGACCAATGGTTAGTTTTTCAATTCATATATCGAACTTGAATTCATATAAATTTAATAAATTTGTGCTTATATTCATTCATATTTTCCAAGAAATTCAAGGATGAATTATAAAAATTTGATGACAGCCATTGTGTCAAATCAAAAGTAGTTAAATAGTCGAAAGTAGTTAAATCAATTTTTTCGGATAAGTTTACCGTAACTAAAAATTTAATTATCGTAATGGCACGAGGAATTGTTAAGTATTATTAGCAAATTTTACAAATATAACGATGTTAGTAATGAATTGAGTTATATTTTCTTTTCGCATTCCATCCGTTTATCATTTCTCTCTATCAGAGGCTTCGGGAGTTCAGAAATTCAGAAGCTGGAAGTTCAGAAGCTTCGGGAAATATTCAAGAAATTGTAAGTTGGCGTTCATCGAGAACATTCATCCTCGATTGTCATCTTCAACCTTGACGAAATTAACAGTTCCTTACTCTTACTACTTTACAGCGTGTAACGGATATTGCCCTTTTCTGATCACTCAAAACAAACATTCAAACCAATGGTATCGAAATTTCCCGAAAAGTTAAAAACATGCCAGATCAAATGAAATGTTAAAAACGTAAATGACATAAAAACATACTGAAAGTCTGATAAGATTATTGAAATACTTGTATAAATCAATTATAATACGATAAAAAATCAATAATGAGTGAGAGAAAAATTTCTCATTGCGTATTATCTCTAAATTTAAATAGCTTAACTATTTTTTTCTTTGAAATATTTTCAATCGATGAATTATTTGTAGCCAAAAGAAATTGTAAGAAATATTGAATTCTCTTTGCTAAATCAGAAAATGCAATTGACATCATTCTGACATGCTGTTTCAAATTAATTGAAATTTCTGATGGTACTTCATTTTAAACCAATCCCACTAATATCATTACATCTTTTTCATCGGATCATCATTTTCATTTCGCTCCTTCTTCTTTTCGTCTTCTTTATGGGCATTAGTGGGTAGTACGGGATCGGGATCAGGATCAGGGTTGGGAGAGAGAGGGATGGTGATATGGTTGATGGTAACATGCTGATTAGTATTCAGGTGCATCATAGATATATGTACTTACTATGGTTGATGTGGTGTGTCGTGTTAACTGTCAGTGCAGGTATGGTTTAATTTCATTCGAAAGTTGGCTCTAATCATGTAGAACTTTATCTTATTTTAAAACATATAGATTATTAATGAATTGCATGTTTTTGATCATAGTGTCGAATTTTCTGCATGACTGCTAAATCATTAAAATGACTTGAAATTTAAGTGGAATTGTTTATTCTTCAGGATCTGTGGCATTACTTTGTCGTAACTGCGGACGTGAGATTGTCAAAGGTTCGGCACTTACCAATGAAAAGAGTGTAAAAGCCATACGTTCATATAATATGACCATTTTGGGCCGCAATCAACTCGTTCAAGTGTTCGAAAATGGCGTCCGTATGTTTAAATCTTCATGTATAAATCTAACAAACTTTCGTATAATTTCATACATATTATTCCTTGATAGCACCAAGAGATGCTTTTTGTTGGCAGTTTATTTAGTCTACTGTTGGTTAAATATCAGACGGATTATATTGCAGTTTGAATTTTTACTCTAAGCCCTGCAATATTGTAAAGCAAAAAACACGTTCTGCATTTATTATATTATTACCCATTATTTTTGTAACTTTTTCAGCTGAAAAATTTGATGTGATAACCGCTTCAAGCGCTGAACTGAGACTTGCAGGTAAGGTAAGCAAATCCTGAAACTTTGCTCACTACCGAATGGTTTTTGTTGGCGTGAAAATAATGTGCTTAATGATTCTTTTACTTATTTAAAATTCTTTTTGCTGGAATAATTGCCTTACTGTTAGGTTTAAAAAGCGAAACATACTCACAACGTGATGAAATCCGGCAGCACGGTTTACATTTTCTTTCCACCAGGCAGTAGTCGATAACTGGGACCACCAATTTTTCTTTTAATCCTTAAAAAGGTTTATTCTGGTATAAAACTAGAATAACAGTTGTTAAGGTGCACAAGAAGTGTTTCACAAAGCTTCTTTAGTGATGTCTTATTGAAGTTCCATTCATTTTCATGCTGTCTCTGGATAATTGTTCTGTAGTTCCCATATTTGATTAAACATTATCCATGAAGAAAAAGAAATATTTTTCAGTCTCACCTAGCAGATACTTGGTGGCCGAATTATGAGTGGACCGTTTGTGTGTGCCCCAGCTGCGGTTTTCATTTGGGATGGTATTACTTCTTGCTTCTGCCGTTCCATTTTTTCACTGTTTTTTTTAAGAGGCTTTAATATTTCCTAAGAAAATTAATATTTGAAATTCCTTATTCTTCATATTTCAGGTATTTTCAGTCAGGTAATATTCAATCAAAGGTGCATAAATCATTCGTTGGACTTGTGCTAGATTACTTAATCAGTGAAGAATGTAAGGATTGAAATATACAGTTTTTTGTTAATGTTTGAAACATTTCCAATGTTGTCATGCGGAAGCACTATTTCAATTTTTTTTTATTGTTTCAGATGTTGATTTGTTGACGTGGGTGCCATAGTTTGGAAGCGAGGGATGTGACGTCAATATCTATTATCAGTGCGATGTGTAATTTAATGTAGTTAATTTACTATTTACTAAAGCAACTTATAACTCATTAGGTTTTAATGCAGTAATCTCAAAATTGTTTTATTACAATGGTCTTGTATCCACATATTTTAATGGTTTCAGAAAGTAAACATTCTTTTTTCAGTACGCAGAAATGTTACTTGAAGCATAATGGAAAATACCTCTAGCGGATCTTACGAAATATGAGATAAATATTATCCACTTGAAATTTTACCTGAAGATTGAAATCGTTAAATCTTTTTGTCGACTTAAGACTATTTTTGTTGCACATTTTATTTAGTATAATATGTTTTTTCACTATTTTTTTAGAATATATTCCTTGTGAAGTTCAATGTTACAGAAAGCAACTAATGCGTTTCAAGATTGCTTTCTGCCTTAAAAATATGTCGAAAACATGATTCTTTGGTGGCCAAAATTTTACTGAATTTTTTTTTCGCAGCCGATATTAAACATGATATGGACGGTTAAGAAGCAATTGTTTTAAAAGACCCGATCTCCCTATTCTCGTCGACCTTTGATTTGAACGCGAGTAGTGTGAATTTTCATAGCTGAGAATTTTTCATGGACATTTTTGGTGGTAAAAAGTCGTTTTCATTGATTTACGGTTATTTTAGTGTCATATATCAGTCAGTTAATAATTCAGAATTCCTCCATATTCTTTAGAAAGGCTTTGAATATAACGGAATCAGCTGGATTTTTTAAATCAAATACCATAAAACACTCATTGTTCGAAATTTCTGAAATCCCATCTCCTGTTTCTTCCCTTCAGTTTGAATTGGTAAATAATCTAGAAATAAATTTTGACAAATTCATACATGAACTGGTTATCGAGAACTTTGCGACCTTGCAGTATTGGTGCACCTATATTGATAGTACGATTACATCTCATCGGCAGTGCATGCCACATCTATTTGATATTAAAAAGGAGATTACAATTTATAATTATGTTCATTTTTATCTGTTGCGAATGTAAGACTTACGGCTGCTTATTAAAAATACGAAAAAAAAAGTTTGGGTTAAATGTCGTTGATTTGTTTTAGATCCGTCCCAGAACCATTAGTTTCATTAGCTCATTCAGTATAATTAATGGTCTGGTAATAGCAAATTTGTGCTTTTAAAAAAATTCATTCATAATATTCTGAAAATCAGCCCTTGAAAATATTTTCAAAGTGTCAAGTTTGAAAATATAGCATACCGCATACCTAAAAAGCATACCTGCAGCTTTTTTGAAATTATTCAGTGATAGAACACAGGCTCTATAATTCTCGTTATTAGCTCTTCCTTTTTATAACTTTAGAAAAATATGAAATTATTATTGAGTTTTGAAACTGAGAAGTGAAAAATGAACGGGGACATTTTTTAATAAATTGAAAGTGGTATTTAATGGATATAATGGAAAATTTCTGCTACCGGAACGTATTTCTGCAATCAAGAGCAAAAAGATCCGCTCAAAATGGATCAATACAGGGATTATACATATTGGAAAAGAAGGTTAGTTTCCGGAACATAAGATTGGGGACAGTTGAAGAAGTTATGCTAAGTGTTGCTAATTGAGGTTATTTGATAAAATGACGAATTACTACGGTACTTTTTTGCATTACATGTTTCTACAGTTCAGTGATGGATTTTTCACGTTGGCAGAATGATTCCTCTAAAGAAGAAAACTAAAAGTTACAGTTAAAAAATTCATCTCAAAATTTGTTTCAAAATCAAGATTGCATCATGGTTTATTAAGAATGGAAGAAGATAAACAGTTTATGGTGCATGATTCTTTGACAAACAACTAGCACTTTTTGTTACTTCTTGCTTTCTATCATTCGATGCCTACATTTTAGGCCCACAATTTCTTGTAAGTTTCTGTATAACTTTATTTCACATTAATAACTGATTTATAGGCTCATAAAAGTTCTATGATAAAAGATTAGCAAAAAATAGTTATAAGCGAGATAAAGACCATTATCGTTATGAGTTTTTCTGTGGAACAAAATAACTAACTCTAAATTTGAAATTTTTGCAAATCAGACGCGATTAACAAGTGGCAATAATTCGTGTCAATCTAGTAGTGGCTATCACTTTCATACATTCTCATTAATAATTCTCTTCATTAACCCTCCAAATCCAATGTTAACAACAATATTGAATTAATTCTGAAGCGGTTGTAGTACTAATAAAGAGTGAGCTGGACTTAGATACTTGCGCTTCATAGAATTTCTCTGAATAAAGTATATAATGAAAAATGTAATAATAAATATACTCGATAAAATTATGATCGTACAACATAGATTACCGCATGTAATATTACCCTCTTCCTCTTCATTGAATATTCGTGTTGTGACAAGTTTGAGATCTGAGTGAAGTAACACAGATAATAAATGTTCTCTGGACTGTATTACTTTACCAACGATGTTCAAATCAAGATGATTAACTGAAAATATTGAAATTTATAAAACTCAAGAAATTACAGGAATATTATAGTTATTTATATAACATGCTAATGTTATACATTTGTTTACATTTGTTTGCTATTAGCAAAATGATGTGTTTTCTGCGTTACTTTACTGACGACACTAAAATCGCTAACCAAGAAATTCCACGAAAATTTAAAATATAAATTTCAGTTTTGGTTACTGTATATTTTAAAATTCACAGCATTATTATAGTATAGCTATAAAAATGAAATGAAGAGAAGATGAAGGACATGTAAGCTAGGGTTATTTATTTATTAACTGATCGAATTGTTAAATAATATAAATGATAACCTTTTAAAGATGGATGAACGGTAGCATTCCTTAGCACTAGAAATGTAATGAAATTATTTGGTGTACCGCAGAAAATACTACCAACTAAGATATTTTTTAATTCCATCGTACTATTCAGATTACACTGAATGGCTGTAGCACATTCTTCGTTGATCCAACGAGCTAACGCTGCTCGAATTTTATTCACATTGATTTTAAGAATTGACGAACAGTCAAAAAATTCAACATAAATCCATCGTGTACCATTTCTCGCATCATTTTGAATATACTCAAAAAAAACAAAGGATTAGAATAGAATTCTTCATATCGATTATAAAGAATAAGGTAAATAATAATAATAACGAGAATTCGAGAGAAATGATAAAGGAATTTCTGATCTCTCTTCAATTGATTAATATTAGAGGATTTAATAAACATGTAATGCTTACGATATTGCTCAATATCTTTCTTATTCATTTTTCAATTAACTTCTGAAATAAAATTGTATTACTGAGGTTAGAAACTTAACCCGAAGCTAATGAACAATCAATTAACAGTAATATATCAAATTTCAAACCGATTGATTTAAATTTCAACCATTTAGCAAAACAAACCTGAGTAGCTGTTGTAGCAGCATTGGTTACATATAACCAGCTGAAGCTCAATAAAACAATTATAGGCATGAAAAATTGAAAAATGATAATGGAACAAATTTTTTGAGGGCGAAAGAAAAATTGTCACGCCTTTTTAGGGGCAGTCATTCTATTATTCGATGTGACAGAGATGCGCATCGTAAATATTGTATTTCATGAAAAGATGATGATAGTGATAGTATTTGTAGCAAACAGTATGTAGAGGACAATGCTATATCATTAATGATTATCTACGATTACCCGATAACATACAATCACTCTTACACTAATTATCCTTTTCTTTACTAATTCCAAATAACTAACTCATTTCAATCATTCTTTAACTTTTCTCTCTATCTCTAAAATATCATATATATATATATATATATATATATAAAATCCAGCTAATTACAACAACTGAAGAATTTACAATAATGGACAAAAGAACTTGTTCAATTTGATTTCATCCAATAAATAAATAAATCATTGGTTGAACTGAAACTAGAATTATTGTAATAAAGTGTTAATTTTAAAAATATTATCAATTTATTGAAAAAAAAAAACGATTTCGAGAATTGTCTTCAAAATCTTTAATAATATTATAATATACAATGATATTACAATACTACAATGTGAGAAAAGATATATCCAAAAAAGACAGAATACTTATGTGATTGAGAGATTTATAATATATTGTATCATTTCATTGATTAATTTAAAGACTTTAATATTTATAAATAAAAGAGATAGTGTGATTAGCGAAATATGACAATTCCATTACTGAAAATTAACTTTCCACACAAAAATCAATGACTATATCGTATTGCTTAGTGCTATACAATGTGAAAATAAAAACGAATTCTTTTATAAAGTATAATTCGATGATGAAATTGAAGACAATTAAAACTGGAAATAAACGATCTACATATATAAAACTTACAGGCTATAATCAGAATTTCCATTAATATAAATAACAAATCATTAACTTTAATACATTAAAAAATTCATAAATCAGTTATCAGTTATCAGTTATCAGTTCATGGAGACATAGAAAAAAAGATTAAATTGTAGAGATTTTTTAAAGGTTTTCCTACTTAATAAATGTACAGTTTTCTTGTGCTATCTTATAATTTAAATATAAATTAATAAACAATCAGTTTAAAGTAATTATTTTTTTTAAAAGGAAATAAAATCATTTATTCAAAATAGCAATATATAAAATGATCGTAGCAATTTCAATTCTATTTTTGCATTTCATTTTTTCGATTAATTGACCTATGATAAACTAAGGAGATTAAATATGAAGGAATAATAAAGGCAAACGTCGTTTTCAATGGAATGTGAATAAATAAATGTAAGGATTAGCAGAGATACAGCAAAATGATTATTTAAGGAAAAATATTAATGAGATTGTAAAATCTTATTTGTTATGATAAATAAGAAAACATGCATATATCTTGTGATTGGTGAAGCTCTCGTATAAAATAATCCTTTTGGAGATCATGAAGGAAAAGAATCAATAATTGATTCAATGATTCATTCCCAATTATTTTGATGTATTTTTCTTACATAAATCGATCACTTAAAGAAACTTCAAAACCGAAAATTCGGTAGTGTTAATCATATTGCTATTGCCATTGTCGAGGTGATTTTGATATTGATTAATTAGGAAATAAAATCCTTCAAATCTTCATAAATATATTAAACAGTCATACGGATTGTATTGTCAATGGGACCAGTGCTTCATTCCGACTACTTTTAAGTGTCATTGTATCATTGGCATAATGTTTGCTCCATCAGATCGATCAACGTATGGATCATTGTTCAATAACCCTAAGTTCCAGACATCACAAACATTCTTTGAGAAATTAAGATAAGACTATTGAGAGAGAAAGATAGATAAGTGGAAAGAATTTATGCGTCGGATATTTTTCCTTTTTCCACTATCATATTTAATTAGTATAGATGACCTTTAGCAAAAAGCTATCAGAAGTATTTAATTTATCATTTACAAGAAGTTTGTCAAAAGTATTTACAATCTAATGGTAAATTTTATGTTATACCAGAGGTATTCAAATGAACAGTATGTTTCACCTATCCAATGGTGTTAATTATACAATCCTATCCATTACCTATCCATTTGGTGATTAGTCAAGTGGACGGATACACACCACCAGACACAATAAGGATAACTCTTCGGAAACGTTGACGGATCTGGCAGAAGTGGTGGTAATATGAGCAGTGGCAGACAAGAGCAGAAGCAACGAAATATGCATTGGCAAGCAGAAGTAGAATTCTCATTTAAGAAGAAAAAGTTGCAGAGTATGAGCAGAGGTTCATTATCGAATTGCGATAGAGTTTTCTCACTTTTTACGTGGTAGAAGGGAAAGTAGGATGTGAGCGATGAGAATGGGGAGTGGAAAGTATTTAACGCTTCCCTTCCATTTCCGGAAGGGGTCACTAAGTTGACATTCTTAGCTGAGAAAAATCGTAGAATATATAACATGTTAATTCACGCAATAACTTTTAGTTCTGACCTCTCTGGATTCGGTTTATTCTCTTTCATTGCTTAGCAGTTAAATTGAATTTTTTTGCAGGAGAATGACAGATCAGATTCCAGAAGCATCTAGCAGTACTTATGCTAATGAGGTAGAGAGGACCAAGAAACTTGCATCAGTGATTTTTGTAGGTTTTGAAATTTTCCGTTTTAAATGATAAAAAATGATTAGGAAATAGCATAAAAGATTTATTTATGATTTAATCACTTCTAATAATTATTCAAAAGCTTATAGAAAGATTTAAATTTTCTATGTTAGGAAGAAGAAGATGTCGGGTTCGAGGAAGATATACTCAAAAATCCATTTTCACTTCGAAGCTGGTTAAGATATATCGAACACAAGAAGAAATGTAAAGCACCATCAAAACAAATCAATCTAGTTTATGAACGAGCTCTAAAGGAACTGCCGGGCAGCTATAAACTATGGTATTGGTCGCTTTTTTATATCATCCGTAGTTACTACACTCAAGAATGTAAATTTGGTTCGCCCAGACCTACCAGTCTAGTTACCTCTTACGGAATGATTAGCAGTCTTTTATTCCGAATAAAAATGATCATGTGCATATATTTAATTAAAGTATTTCGTATCTTACTTCAATTTCACAGTACTCGCCACTTATTGCATCCTTGGTTTTTGTCCATTGTATTAACTCTTTTCATTCATTTTTGGATTACTAACAGGCAAAGAATGGTTATGGAATTTTTAGGTATAATTATCTCCGATTTCGTCGAAAACAGGTGGTAAATAAGTGTCCTACAGATCCAGCATATAATCACGTCAACAATGCTTATGAACGAGCTTTGGTTTTCATGCACAAGGTTAGATAACTTTGTTTAAACAATTTGGATACTGTTATATTTATTTGTAAATTATATCAAACGGGATGACATGGAAACCTGAACAAACGATTTGGAGATTCCTTTGGATCTGGGTTGTTTCTTATAGGCTTTCCATATACAGCAAATTTCCATTCATTGTAATCTTTCTCAACCGACGAAGTTAATTTATTATTAATGACAACAGTTTTAGATGCCTCGAATATGGATGGAATACTGTGAATTTTTAACGTTACAACGTCTTGTAACGCAAACTAGGCGGGTTTTTGATCGCTCCTTACGGGCACTGCCAGTTACTCAGCATGATCGAATTTGGCCGCTTTATATCAAATTTGTTACAAGCCATGAAATTCCGGAAACGACAATTAGAGTCTATAGAAGTTAAGTTTTCATTTTTTTTAATTTATAAGCTGTTGCAAATCTGCTGTACCGTACATCAGCAGAATATTTTTTTTTCATTTCCTTCCAGTTAATGACTTCCCGACATATAACTAAATACTTTTAATTATATACCGGAAAATCTTTAACTTTTAATCCTTCTGTTTTGATCGTATCTTCCTTTGCTTGGTTACTAGCCTTTTTAAAGAAAATGGTTGAACAGCAATATTTTTCATTTCCAGTTTCGAAAACGTTTCTCTGAATTCACATTTTTCATAAGTGCACTAGTTATTATTTGCATCATTTGTTAGTATATACTAGCATGCTACAATACTTATTTAATTGAACTTTATTTTAGGTACTTGAAATTGCTACCGAAGTGTCGCGAAGATTTCGTTGATTACTTACGCAAAATTGATCAATTAGATGATGCTGCTCAGCAACTTGCTATTCTTGTAAACGATGATAAGCCATACTCCGAACATGGCAAAACAACTCATCAAGTAATTTTCGTCTTTGCGTGCATGATTTTCACTTTATATATAGTACCTGTGTGATCAAAAATATATGCTTATATCTGTTTTCTCTTTCCAGCTGTGGACTGGGCTCTGCGAATTGATTTCGAAAAATCCAAGTAAAGTGCATTCACTGAATGCGGACTCAATCATTCGACAGGGCATACAAAGGTTAGCTCTAATAATATTAGGTAGAACTTGAATTTGGTCAATCACAGTGAGCTGAATTGCGCAATTTGATGGGAATTTAAGTTCATAAAGAGGTATTTCAGATATAGCGATCAGGTAGGACTTCTCTGGTGTTCACTAGCAGAATATTATATCAGAGCTGGACAGTTTGAACGGGTTAGTATTTTATTATGTATTTTTCCATGTTTTGCTACAATAATTGCTATGCTAGGTCTCTAATAATACAATAATTTCTATGCTAGTATGAATCACAAATTTATAATATGGGAGTTCTTTGTTGCCCATAGATCACTTTAAATTAGTTCGCAGTATGAGATTTGTCTGCAGGCAAGAGATATATATGAAGAATCACTTATATCGGTAAAAACTGTGCGAGATTTCACGCAAATATTTGATGCTTATGCCAAATTTGCTGAACGTGCAACAGCAGCAAAAATGGATGAAATAGATAACGAGGACACTGCAAGTGATGAAGAGCAACAGTTGGAATTGGAGCTTCTTTTTGCAAGGTATTCTAAAGGCAGCATTCTAATCTCACATTCGCAATCAGTATAACATTTTAAACGTGGTAATATTTGTCCATAATACCCTTTGTATGCCGCTAAAAACGAATCCCAAAAAATGACTGATTTCGAAGTCATTAAATTCTAGTGTTTTCAGATTTGAGAATTTAATGGACCGTCGACCGCTGCTTTTGAATAGCGTCCTGCTGCGTCAAAATCCTCACAATGCATATGAATGGTTAAATCGTGTCCAGTTATATGAAGGCGATAAGAAAAAGGTAGGACTAACGTGAGGAATGCTAATTTAAAGTTATTTTACATTTTTATTATTTCCAGTTTTTAAATGTTGTGTTAAGATTATTATTGTTGTCTTATTTTCCTGTCTTAGAAATGCCATTTGCCCAAATTCGACTATCTTGCTTGTAATTTATAGCAAATCGAGACATATGAACAAGGTGTGCGAACGGTGCAACCTAAACTACAAACTGGTAAATTGTCAAATATTTGGATAAGCTTCGCGAAATTTTATGAACAAGAGGGCATGTTGAACGAAGTATGTCTTATTTGGAAAGTTATACCAGTCTATTTATTAGAGAATTTCCACCATTCTGGTGTTTGTGGTGATATTTATTTCATCACTCAATTGGAGAAGTTGTTACAATTTTTCTGTACACATTTTTAATTTGTTGTCAACTTAATTTTTGCCAAGCACTTTTCACATGCTTCACACTCGATCAGCTTCTGTTTGTAGGCTAAATTAATATTTGAAAGAGGGCTGAGACCTGATTACACCAAAGTGGATGATCTTGCATCGATTTGGTGTGAATATGTTGAATTTGAACTGCGCCACCGGTTAGTTTGCAGTATAATGCTTTTTCTGTTATTACTTTATACGTAAAATTGTCTCCTTATAATTTGTTAACTATTTTTTCATCAAGACCAACTGCGATGTTTATATTATTAACATTGTTCAGGAATCCTGAGCATGCTAGGAAGTTAATGCAACGAGCAACTGCTATGCCACCTCGAAGAGCTCATTACTTTGATGAAACGGAACCAGTACAGAATCGGTTATACAAATCTTTAAAGGTTAACGATTTTGGCTTATAATGTTCTAATGAACAATACTATCGGATCTTCAATTTTTCAGCCTTATTTATTTTAAAATAATTCAAACTGATTTGTAAATTTTCCTTGTTTCTTATCAAAGAGTTTCCGTATTTTAGAATCCTAATAATTGAATTCAGATTTGGTCTCTGTATGCTGATATCGAAGAAGCATTTGGTACTCTTGAAAGTTGCCAAGCTGTTTATGAAAGGATTATTGATTTACGTATTGCTACTCCACAAATAGTAGTCAATTATGCTAAATTTTTAGAAGAAAACAATTATTTTGAGAACGCTTTTAAGGTAGGTATTCACTTTTTTATCCCTACATAAAAACTTTAATACTGGGGTTTCTTACCACATTTTAAATGTACTTCCGTAATATTCAAATGAAATAAATCATCCGTAAATTAACATATTACCTGAACGAAAATGTCTGGCTTTTTTTTCAGGCTTATGAGAAAGGTATAGCATTGTTCAAATGGCCAATTGTCAATGAAATTTGGAGTGTATATTTGGTTAAATTTTTAAAACGATATGTATGTACTATTTATTTCTATTTAACTGGATAATTTTAAGCTCACGCAGAACATTTTATAAAATGATATACAATTTATAGGGTTACTTTTTCGTAATTTTTTTTGTATCTAAACCATTTGATCTTTTTTTGAAGGGTGGCAAGAAGCTGGAACGTGCGCGCGACCTCTTCGAGCAGTGCTTAGAAAATTGTCCACCAAAATTTGCAATGAGTAAGCATTTTAGACTAATTTAAAAGATTGTCCGTTTTTATAATAAAATGTTTGAAAATATTATTATTGGTGTTTTGGTTTGATATATTTTGAGATGTTTTTATTTCATTTTACATTTAATGCTATTATATATGTCACGATGTTTTGGCAGCTCTATTACTGACACCGGCAGTGTACGTTAGAATTTGAATTTGTCAAATTTTAGAGCTTTATTTACTGTCAAATTTTTAGAGCTTTATTTACTGTATGCAAAACTGGAAGAAGAATATGGTTTGCCACGGCACGCAATGAACATTTATAATCGTGCGACTACTGCAGTTGAAAAACATGAAATGTACAGTGTACGTTTTTTTTTTCTTCCTGGTTTATGAAATTATTGTTTATCTGAAATTTTCTGCTGATATTCCAAGACGCTGCGAAATATGATTTTATGTGAAAGCTAGTTTTTCTATGAAATATCGATGCAGAAGAATTTAACTTATTGAACTTTATTTATTTGCAGATGTTTAATATCTACATTAAAAAGGCGACAAACATGTACGGTTTAACATATACACGACCAATATTTGAACATGCTATTGAAGTTCTTCCGGAAAACCAGTCGAGGTATCATATTCGTTTTTTTCGTTGCAATGAGTTTTTTGTTTATTTTTTCGGTATTCAATGGCTTTTAATTTTCGAAGCTAAATTGTCTTTTTAATTTCTCAAGGGAGATGAGTATTCGATTCGCACAAATGGAACGAACATTAGGTGAAATTGATCGAGCACGAGCAATATATGCTCACTGCTCTGAAATATGCGACCCTCGGGTAAATGAATTCTTTAGAAATTATTGTTAAGTTTAAGTGCTAATGAGAATTATTATAAAAATTTTGCTGAAATAGAAAAATAGCTAGCATTTTTTTATGTTTTAAATAAACGGTTGACTATGTTTGCATCAATACAGTCGATATGATTGTATTTCGCTGTTAAAATTGAATGAATTTTCATCTCGAATAAATCATTTTTTAACTTTTCTTTTTATTTCAGGTCCATGGTATTTTCTGGGAAATTTGGAAAGAATTCGAAGTGAAACATGGTAATGAAGATACAGTGAGGGAAATGTTGCGTATAAAAAGATCTGTGCAGGCAACTTACAACACAAACGTTAATATCATGAGCGCACAGATGTTGTCCACAGTAGCGGGTGCAGCTACAGGCACAATCATACATGAACGTTAGTTTGCTTAATTATTCTCTTGTATTGTATCTCATTAAAAGAGTATTTATCATGAGAGCATTTGACGATGACTTTGTTTTCAATAATTATTTTTTGTCGTTTTTTAAATTTCAAATTTAATTTCAGCCAGCACGGCTGGTGATAGCATGGCGATGCTTGAAGCTCGCGCTCAAAAGATCGCAGAAGAAGAAACAGGTGTCGCAAAGTTGGCAGTGGGCGGAGCTGGTATCAAATTTGTACGAGGAGCTGTTAATGTAGTCGAGTCAAATGTTACAGAAAATCCAGAGGAAATTGATATCGGAGATGATGATGGCGATGATGAGCCAAAAAATGTGGAAGGTAAGGTTTTATGTGGCTTGAAACCAGACATAAAAATTTTATTTGAGAAATGCCAAACAAACGAGTAGCATCAAATGATATGTCGGTTTATTTTGTCCATAATTTTTGCTTACCGCATGGCATTTTGTATTGTTTTGGGATGATCGTTAGTGACTACTTTTATGTATATACTAGTAACGATAGACGGCTTGATGAACTTGCTGCTGAAGTGATTTTCTTCCCACAGTTTTTGGAAAGCAGCGGCCAGCATGGACTTCGATATTTTTTAGTTTTGTTGAACCCCATATGTGAATTTTCCATAATCTCTTATACTGACTGATTTTTTAGAACAAATTTAAAAAAAAAAAAAAAACTATATGGAGCACTGATTAACAAGTTATGCTACAGAGAATAAAAGTTTTTGTACTCAATTTAATGGTTCCAGATGTGGAAACGAGAGCTATACCCGCAGGTGTTTTGGGTTCACTTGCAAAAGAAAATGATCAATAAATTTAATAATGAAATTTATTTCGCTCACTATTTATTGTTTTTGCATATTTTGAAGTTGACAGCAATGGTTAAGAAAATAACAGTTATTTCAGAAAATATTGTATGTTTGATTGTTCTGAATTTGGGTTACGGTGTCAATTTCAGCACCAAAAATAAAGGGAATCTCTTCCCCCCTCTTCCTTGCATTTGATATGTTTGATATGTCATTTAAGAAAAAGGAAAAATCAAAGAGGTGAAAGTTGAGTGGAACATTTGGAAGGGGCAATAACGGACATTTTTCACCGGAAAATTTTATTTGTTATATGATTTATTCATAATGGTTTAATCGTTAATGAAAGCTAACGGAATTGTTGATTTCACTTTATTCAGGATGTGCAAAACTTGGATCTTATTCATTGAGTTTAAATAATGTCGCCGAATTTCTTTCACAAAATTTGCATCTTATAAGACTATATATCACGAAAATGGTGATATAGGTGTTTCTTAGTTTGATTAGTTGTAAGGCGGCTGATTCACTCTCTGTTTTCTAAAAAAATTGCTATGGTTGCAGATGTTAAATTTGAATTGCTTCCGTTTCTTGCAAAACATCAAAAATTTAAGACGAAGGTACAATAATATTTTTTTTCAAAGAAGTCTTATTGGATAAAATGACCGATAAAGTTTGTTAATCCTTCAATGATTGTATATTTCATTTTATTACAACACGGGTTTATATGTTCAGATTTATTTGTTTGAGGTGCTGCGTTAAGCCATGCTTTACAAATAAATGAACTGTGTTGTAAGGCTATAATCACCTGGAAGTCTCAACAATTTTTATAGTTTTACTGTTCCAGTTGGCATGTTTAGGTGCAATACGATCCTGATGAAATTTGTGAAATGATCGAAACGGCTCGAGTATTATTCTCGAGTGAAGGTGCACTAATTGATGTTTCAATACCAGTGATCGTGGTCGGTGATATACATGGACAGGTAGCATTGTACCCAGAATGGCTCTTCAATCTAGCAGTATTGTTCTTGATATGTCAGTCAGTTGAAATTTTTCTTCGGGACTTGCGCGATGTCACTTTCAGTATGCGGATTTGCAACGAATTTTTGCGGCAGTTGGACGGCCAGGTCGAACACGTTTTTTATTTCTTGGTGATTACGTTGATCGTGGACCGCAGTCTCTTGAATGTATTTGTTCGCTTGTTGCCTGGAAAATTGCATATCCGAAAAGGGTACGAATTCTCAAAATTGCTCAGATTTCCGCGAAATTCGTTCAATCCTACAAGCAAAGAAGACAAATTATTATGCTAAATATGATTTGAAGAAGCAGAAATGCTAATGAGAATTGATACTGAAACTAATAAATTAGATAAAAAACAAGGGGATTTTAAATGCAGAGATAATATTCAGCTGGAAGGGCAATAATTTTAATTATTATTCAATAATAATGACAGCACTAAATGTTCAACAGTAATGTATTATTAATGATGCTTAAAGCGATTTTGACTTGCAAATTTTTTTAGTTAGCACCGAATACTTGAAGAAAAAATCAGTTCTGAAGTGCGAGGATTAGTTCTATTTCATCTTTAAAAACTTTAAAAATAGAAATTTCGTCTTTAAAAATAAACTGTCAGCAATAGTATCAGTGAAAATTTCGATTTAAAATGTTAAATGAAATCGAAATATGTAGAATTTGTTAAAGTATTAGAATTCAAACGCAGAAAATTATTTATCCAATTATTTGTTATTTGTCGTGACTTATTTGTTTGTTATTTGTTATTTGTCGTGATTTGTCGTGACTTCCAATACAAACTTCAAAGATTATATTTATTTAAGATATTTTTACTTCGTGGTAATCATGAATTTGCATCTGTGAATCGAGAATATGGCTTTTATGATGAATTAGCTGCAAGATTTAGCGTTGGTAAGTTTTCCACATATTAAATGCACATATTGCCAGATGATAAGATCAATCAATTTTACAGTGGAAAAATTCATTAAAATTAGTCATCAAGGGAGATAAAAAAATTTAAAAATGCAATCAAGTGGATAGAATGAAAGCCAAAAAAATATATTTAAAGCATTATCAATTTTTCCAAATATTTATAATCATTCATTATATGCTTTTGCAGATTGCATTTTCTTATCTTATCAATCAATTATTGATTGAATCAATCAATCAATTGTTGACCTAATTTCAGGTCAGGCTATGCGTTTATGGAAAGAATTCAATGATCTATTCTCAATTTTACCCTTTTCAGCTTTAATAAAGAATAAAATACTTTGCATGCACGGTGGTCTCAGTCCACATCTCGAATCGCTTAATGATATTCGAAATGTAATCTATATTATTTGTATTCTGTTAAGTAAATTAAAAATCTATGTAGATAATTATTTCCGACATTTTAATCTAAATCTATATACATTTATTTTAATTTGTGATAGACATAATACTTTACCATTTATTTAATTTACAATGGGCATTTAATTATTATCCTAGTAATAGGATGTAGGTTCTTGATAGCAAGACCAGTGAATAGTGTAAATAATTTAATTTCATTTTCTCCCTATATCTAAATCGGAGATTTGAAAATTAAACTGATACAAAATAGTTTTAAAAGTTTTGTGTTTACCAGTGAAAGTTTTTCATTTGTCCTTTTTAAAAAAATCATAGCATGATTTTTTGCAGTACTTTTATAAACTTATGACCGATTTCAGATCAAAATGCCAGTAATGGAAGTATTTCCGGATACACTGGAACAGGATTTAGTTTGGTCGGATCCGAAATTAGACACAAAAGGTTACGAGCCGAACAAATTGCGCAATGTGAGCGTTACATTTGGTGAAGATATTGTCTATAAAACATGCAAGCGCTTGAACTTGGATCTCATTATACGAGCACATCAGGTTTTGCACTATTTTGTTAAATCAAAATTTGAAATGATTTGACTATCCTATAATTCCTTCCCTTTTCAAATCATTAAGTGAAAACAAGACAAAGAGAAATTTAAGCATACAATTATTGGGCGCATTTTAAAACATTCAAAATCCATCTATCCAATATAATGAGTCCCTCTGGACTAATATCTTTCCTTTTTTTTGTTTTGTTTTCTTTTAAACTGTTTTATTGACAGGTGATGGAAAATGGATATGGATTTTTTGCTGGTCGTAAACTGGTTACGGTATTTTCAGCACCATTATATGCAGAACTCGTAAGCTTCTTTATATACTATGCATGAAAAATTTCACCATAAATAAAAATTGAGAATTCCATCAAATGTAGGAGGAAATGGATTGCTGATGATTTTTAAGTTACGGAAAACTTGAAATGGATTGATCACTCTTTTTCGCAAATTCAATTCAAAAATCTTTATCCACTAGTTATCAATGCATGCATGACCTATATTCCCTCACCTTTTAAGATGAACGAAAGTTCATTGTTCAATCATAGAATATGTCGTATTTTTTCAATAAAAACAAATTTCTTGTTTTTCTTTTTTTTAAAATAGAATTCATATTTTTATGATATTAATTGAAAATAATTTGCCATTGTTATAAGTAGAAAAGGTGGCAGAAAAAGAGGTGAAGATTAGATGCAATTGCTTTATTTTCTTCTTTCAAAACATTTCGAACAGTTTTTTTTGAATCATATAAATAATGAAATAATTATCGCTGTTAAGATAAAGGTGTAACTGGTACTTGATAGTATAAATTACCATAATTAAATCATAATAATGAGCTAATTTTGTGGATATAAACTTTATGAGAATTTAAAAGGTGGAAAAAATGATGCGGCACTATAAGGAATGTTAAAGAAATTACATAAATTGATTGAAGTATATATTTTGTACAAAAGTATAAATCTGATACATAAATTCACTGAAACCAAACGTGTTTTATTCAAACAACATATTTTCAAATTGCTAAGGTGAAGAGAGCAATCGTTGAATTTTCGATTATTCCAATAAAAGATCATTTTTGGCAGTAGACTTTTAAACTTGGGAGTATGACGGTATTTAAAATTCCAACTGATCATTTTTAGAATAACAAGGGAGCAGTTATACGTATCAATGCAGAGATGGTAATCAGTTATGTAATATTAAATCCTGTGTCGCATGCAACTGCTGGTAAGGATAATTTCTTACGTTCCTTCAGAGACGATCAAAGATCATACCGTATGAATGAATTGAATAATGCTACAATGCTACCACAGTTTCAATAATACCTAATAGATTTGAGCATTAATTATATGACAATAAAAATATTTCTTAGAATGTTTGTACGATTAATATTGTATTGTAAAATATAATATGTTTCATAATGTATCACTAACAACTTGATAAGTTAGTTGAATTAATCAAATGATACTACCACACCTACAAGTTTGAAATGGTTGAATAAATTTGAAGAAAGAATATAAAAAACCTTTATCTCAAAAAATTGAATCTAATTTGAATCATTGCTACAACTTTTAAATCACCAATGGATAAGACCTCTGTATTCGTATCAAAATTCGGAATTGTACATTTCGAGATTAATCGATCTTTGCTAGATGACATTTGCGCAATCAATTTACATTTTTAACATATTGCATTAAATTATTCGAATTTTTTTCTATCCAAAAGAATTATTTGATTATATATAAATTTCACTCATTGATATGCATATATCATACGATAATTTGGGTATATTTTAAACCTGATGTAACTTTTGACCTCTTACATTTTAATACGTTGCATTAAATTATTCGAATTTTTTTCTATTCAAAAGAATTATTTGATCACTCATTGATATACATATATTATACGATAATTTGGGGGTATATTTTAAACCTGATGTAACCTTTGATCTCTTACATTCATAAAATGTAAAAATAATTAAAATAATAGAAAAGAAACAACAGCAAGCGAATAAAATAGGAAAAATTAATTATTTCTTGTCGCATAATCTGTTGAAAGAAAGAGGAAAGAAAAGAAATGAAATTAAGCGAAAGATGTGAAATTCCATCCTAACAG